CCAGTTATTTTAGACCTTTCTTCCCAGACGTGGTCTCATCACATTTTCCTTAAGTATCGGGACTAGATGCACATCTAAATACTTTAGAAATCTGTCTCCTTTTTTGTTTTTGCAGATGTTTTGGACAAACCTAATTCGTTATTTAAATACTACTGAATCGTCTGACAATGCTGTACCTTGACTTCCAAACAAACCGTTCATAACCACTTGACGCATTTCTTTTTCCGGTCCAACTTTGTATGCCACTTATGACTTCACCTTTTTTTTTTATGTGTCGGATACACAAGACCTGATTGGATTCTGGAAAAGCGAACTATATTGCTGACATCATAGCCTTTTCCTGATCAGTTCTGAAAATAAAATTTTCAGTTTTGCATGACACTTCCATGAATTTATTCCGTAAATGTGTGAAGAAATGAGCGTATGTACCTTCAAAAGCATCACCATGCAGGGACAGTGGCCCAATGAAGATTGGATTCAATTGAAAATCTTTGCGGACTACAACCTGCATTTTAAATACTGTAACAATAACATACACTTTTCCTAGATTAAAAGTTCGATCAACCCCAATGATTGATGGACGAGCACTTGAGCAGCTTTCATTTGTTGTATTCCAAATAAAGAATTACATTTGGAATTTCATTCTTTGTCTGCTCTAAACTCTGTACATAGGGGTAATCATGAAGAACATAAGTGACTTGTTGAACATTGTCTGCGAAGTTTCTTTGTTTCCTGTTGATCTTCATGTCGTGTTTTTGATCTTATCGTAATATTTTTTGTTGCGTATTTGTTTGGAATCCCTTAAAGCATCGTTTTCTTCGTGGTTTAGCAGTAGATCCTAGTAGATTTCTCGAGGTTGTCTGGTTTTTATTTGTGAGGCAATAGAACCCATGGCTGATCTGAATGTTCGTACATAAGTAGATTGTGCATTGTTTCTTTTTCCATGTGGATATGATCCAAGATTTTTTCCAACGTATTCAACAAGGCCGACATATTCTAAATTTGGCACTGTCTGTTCTTCTATTCAACTAATACGTCATTTAAAAGTATTTCTTGCTTTCAAACATTTATAGTGTCGATAAAGCTGTATGACTTCAGATGGCGATAGTTGTAGCTCTAAATCAGTGTAAGTAAACCTTTTGTTACGTTTAACAATATTTTCCACTCCTTTTTATGACATTTTCTAAAGTGAGCCGACAATAGACGAATGTAAATAGAAACTGGCGAAGCTCCACTTGATCCTGTCCACGCCCCACAGTCATCTATAAAGCAGCTTTGTAAACCATTTGCACGTCTGTGAATATTTTCTTTATTCTTAACAAGAAAATAGACGTTTTCTTTTGGACCTTTTAGAATTGTTTCTAAAATATGTTTTGAAGGATTGACCAATATCTTGATAACCTCAGCAGCTTCTAAAAATTTTAGTTTCTGGAGGCTGTTGGTGGCATTTTGCAGTGGCACTATATTTTCGTCACTGGCATCTTATGCTTGTTTTTGTAAATAACGCTCTTTTTCATTGTCTGGTATATCTGTGTCATTGAAGTTTAATGTGAGATTATTTTCATTGGCTAGTGGTGTACTGCTTCTAAAGAAAAAAAATGTTGTGGATTAATTGTTATGCACTTATAACTTGTTTGTTTTTTAACAAAATATATTGATTTTGTATTTTAGTTGACCAATATAGGTTGTTTGTAATAATAAATTACTGTGTTATTTAATCAATCTGATTCTGTCTGAAAGACTTTCATCCTAAATGTTAAAGTTAATCTCACTTGCAGGTAGACGCTTGGCAAAATAGGCAATATGGTTGTATACTTTTGTTTCTTTACTGACACAAATCCACAGTACGGCAATTGCAGGATCAAATATTTTTTTAACTCCGCGTCCTTAAACAACTACATTGTAAGGATGTGCAAAATTGCAGAAAATAAAAAACAGAGTAAATCGGCGTTGCAAGAGCAGTACTTAATGCATAAATATGCATTAGTTCACTAAATCCGCCATTAGACACGGCAAAACGCAACAACACTGGTATTTCGATTCTGCTGTCCATGATTGTTTGCGCATTTTTTTGGATGATAAATCATAGCATTTGAGGTTGCATTTTGTTGATTGGAGAAATGGTTATTAAATCTTCCAAACCTGGAATGAGATATGATGGCCGAGGTTGTGGGGTAACAATATATGTTTTCAGCAATAAAAGTTCGATCAAACATTGACTTGAAGTTGGCTTAGATTTTAATCTAAAATAAGTCAGCATTAAAAATAAAAAAAAGACAGTTTACACAAAACTTTATTCCGATTGTGCTTGTGTACATGCACTCTCTGTTTTATTGAATGAAAGTTTGAAACGATTGTATAATAACATCTTTAATAAATTTTTAAAAGCCCCTGCTTTACTTAGCTGGTGGTTACCTCCATGGGTACCCTGTTTTTCAAACAAACCTAATAAATAATACTATGAATTAATAAAAAAATACTTTGTAAGACTTTTCTTCCAATCAAATTCATTACTAATATGACAACAGAGCTGGCAAAAAAAACTCATTTTGGGGGTTTTCCATTGATTTAAAAGTTCGTTACTCATCTCAAGGCAGATTGCGTGAACTCACTTTTTATATATCTCACAACAAATTGCTCTCCACACTCTTCGGAGCACATTACACGTGGGTATCTGACTTGATCTTTCTTTAATCGATTCATATCGAAATGAATACAAAATGAAAGCCGTACAAAATAAAAAAAGAGCTATTAAAAAGTCTAACAGCAAATTTTCATTTTTAATATATGATGTAATAATAAAGAATTATTTTAAACAAGACGTCGACAAAAAGCACTGGCTAAGTTCGTTAAATTCATAAAAAATTCGACAAATAATTATACTATTTGCTCTTTGTTACACTATTTGTTAAAAAAATTTAACTTTATGCTACTTAAATACAAGCAATTCTCTTAGGACATTAGTATTAGCAATTTGTATAATACTTTTGGGACATTGGTAATGTTTTAAATATAATTCCGTCTGGAAATTCAATCCGCACAAAGGAATTTGCGTGGATTTGCACGTGGAACTTGGAACTTATTTTTGCACTTGGAACGTGGAACTTGCGTGGATTTGCACTTTCGCGTGGATTTGCACTTTCGCGTGGATTTGCACTTAACAGCTGTTAAGTAAGAAGAAGTTTAAAATTTCATTTATAACAAGTAGTTATAATGTTGAAGTTTTTTCCGCATCATTTTATCAATTAAAATTAATTATTGTTGAATAGCTCAATCACGTGTTTTGCAGATCAGTAGTGCTTTCAAAGGGGCCCGTTTCCCATTTTTTGTTCCCATAAATGTTCAGGTAAGTTTTTTTTTGAACCACTGAATTTTTAATATGTGGAATGCCCTTGATGGAATATTTTTTTAATTTGGGTTTTATATAAATTGTTGGTCAAATATGTGAATAGATTAAGTTTATTACAGTTAATTCTTACGTTATTTCGGGTTTTTTTGGGTTGTTTCGGGTCAAATTAAGTTATTTTGGGTTACTTTTAGGTGATTTTGGTTTATTTTTAGCTAATTATTTGTCAATCATATCATATATTGTATTATAGGTCAATTAATTGAATAGATTAAGTTTATTACAGTTAATTTATAAGTTTTTTAAGTTATTTCGGGTAATTTTGAGTTACTTTGGGTTATTTTGGGTTAATTATTCTACAATTATATTGCACATTGTCTTATCGGTCAATTATTTGAATAGATTTAGTATACTACAGTTAATTCGTACGTTACTACGGGTTTTTTCGGGTTATTTTGTCTTTAAGACGCACCCTAAAGAACGCCCTGCCTCCCATGTTAATTACTTTGTTTATAAAGCGTTGTTGGTGTTAGATAAGTTGCTGGTGTGTTAGTAATTAAGTTGAGTTGCTGTGGAGAAAGTCGGCGATCAGATGCTGTTGATGATAGACATAGAGGAGATATTAACAGGGAAGATTGTTGGGGAATATTGTCATTATTGTTACATTAGTGGTACAAGTACTTGAAAAATGTGTATTTTTATGTTTTTTAGAAATTTTAGTAGACGTATATCGAGGTGTTGGTAATAATATTTTATTTTGAGGAGGGGATATTTCGTTTCCTTTCAAATATAACCTTGAATGAGGAAATAGCTCAGTTGGCTTCCCATATTCAAAATGATTTGCGCATACTTTTGTTTTCTTATTTACAGCATATAGTTTTCTTTTTTCTGTTGAAGGGTCGACTATTTCTCTGTTGATATTATTACTCGATGTGGAAAAATTTCTCTTTACAAGCAAAAAATTTTAATTCGCTCAAACTAAAGTCTTCCAAATATTATCTTTTAAAACATACTTTTCTTTGCATCGACGGTCGTTGTTACTCAAAAAATTGCACAATTATCGCTCTTAGCTGTTAAAGTTACCAGCTGTTTCGGAGTAATCAGTTAACTTTATCCACTTTTTAAGTTAAAAAAAAACAAACTAGGGGCCCTCATGGCTAGTTTTAAGGGGGAGGGGGGAAGACCCGCGAGCCACGGCACTGGGTCTCTTGTTGGTTCTCTTAACAAAACACAACTAATTTGTAGATTCAATATTTATAACACACTGGTTATTAGCCCTTTTTAATAAATTATTTAAATATAGAGATAACGCTATAAGATCAAAAGTACAAAGCTGAAAATTCTCCTCTAACTGTAAATTAATAATTATCTTGTAAATTTTTTGCTTTACTTTTAACTAATAAATGTAAACCAATGCGATATTAATTTTTATCCCAACAGCTCAATTATTAGTGCCCAGACCTTCCCCTATTAAAGTTGCTAATAGGCAACCGTAATCATATACTACCACCTTTAAATTGGTTCTTCATTTTCACGAAAGAACTTACTAAAGTAATCAACATTTTTGTTTCAAAACTTTTATCAATGATTTTAAAGTCCAACTTGGCTTCCTATTTAATATGGTTTATCCATTATTTAAAATTAAAACAATTGATTTACATAAGTTATTATAATAGTTATTTACAAACAAGTAATAAAAAAATTCAAACATCGATCCACCCACACTGTACGAAAAATGATCGAAGGCATTCCCGTAATGCTGTGGTCATAAAAGATGGAGGTTTTCCTTTATATGTGATTTTTGAGCGACACGTAGCAAATTCCTAAGTAATAAAAAATAAGGATCTTGATAACTGCAATTTATTAACCTTTAGTTGATAACTATAAATAACCTTTAGTAGATAACTTTACTTAATATTAATGAGGAAGATTTACTTAATTTTTATATTTATTTAATTAGACTTACGTTTAACAAGTGAATTTTGATTGCGCAATAACGAGAGTAGCTTAGATCTAACGCAAAGCATAGCTACAAATAAAAATATATTATTAAGCTTAAGATAAATAATAAAAAAATGTTTCTTAGGTGTTTATACAATACATTTATTTATAGTGCTTTTTATAACATTGTTTGAATAATATTTAAATATATTGTTCATACAATGAATATATTGGTTTATATATATTGGTCGATAAAATTTTGTTTAATATTAAAACATTTAAATTATATTTTTATCAATTAAGATGTGTAAAATACAACACATCTACTTTCGATGTGTAGACAAAACTAGTCAGCATTTTAACAGTGCAAGATTACTTTTTAAATCGCACTAACAGATTCATAAATCTACACTCAATATTTCTTTAATAGGACTGTTGTAATCATTTCGAGACATTTCTGATTTACAAGTAATCGGTTAAAAATAAATGCATAAATCGCATAAAAATTGAATATAAAAGAAGAGTAAAAAAAGTTTAATAATTATATCAATTCAACAACATAAGTAAAAAACATCAATTTAAAAATAAGTGAATTCAAGTAACAGTTATTTCATTTTTTATTTGACCCCGTAGAAGATGCGGGGTTATAACCACAAATAAGTAGCTTCCTCGTCTGTAGTGGCCTTCTCGGCCTTGAGGAGGTGAATTGACACACACACAAAAAAAAAAAAAAACTTCTATTGTGTCTTTTATTCTTATAACACTAAGACTATTCACATTTCCAGTTTTCATATGGACATTAATACACCTATAAGTGCTCCAAAAACCCAGTACTCATATGGACATTAATTCACTAAAGTACTCCAAAAAATCCAGTTTTCATATGGACATTATTACACCTATAAGTGCTCCAAAAATCCTGTGTATAATAGCACAAAATGCTAAAATGTCTATTTTTATCTTCTTTTTTTAAAAATATTTATTATTCATTATAAATGTTAATTTAAAAAATTATTATTCATATAAATATACAATAAGCTTACATAGTTTAATCATATTTGTTAATTGCTCTAAAAGTTTTAACATGATCAGCCATTCTACTCTATTAATCTAACTACTCTGTAGTATTAAACTGACTCACTGACATCATTTCAAAAGACTCACTGACATCATTGCAACAGATTTACTGACATCATTTCAACAGATTCACTGACATCATTTCAGCAGACATTCAGACTAAATTTTGGAGCATAGCAAAGTTTTTACCATAGTTATGTTAAAAAGAGAATTAGCTCGGCTAAAAACATTTTTAGTTAAAAATCTTTCATAACACAAATTATTTGCATAACTTGCAAATTTTCAGCAAACATTTTCATTTATATTAGAACATCTCAACCCAGTTAAGGAGAGATCTGAAGAAAAATATTGCGTTTAGGCTCATTTGTTTTCAGAAAAGTCTGGGTTTTTTTGCGTACGTTAGTTTTTTTAAAAAATCTCGAACCTCATTATTTTATTTTGTTTACAAATATTTGGTGATTTTATTATCTACAAGTTTTAAGCTTTAGCTTAATAGTATGGGACAAAAGTTTATATAAAAGCTGAAACGTTTGTCTTTGGTAATTTATTCAAACAACTATAAAAAGATTATGGAAGTAAATTTCTATGAGTGAAAACTAATTTCAGCTTTTTGGCCATTTATTGGATATTTTAATGCTGTAAACAGAGAGACATTTTACTTTTGAATAAAAGAGATAACGGTATGTAAATACTTAACACATTTGTTTTAACTGTTTTTATGATGCTGCCCCGATGTATTTTATGTATTTTAGTGGTAGTTTTGTTTTGTTTGATATTTTGGTTGAAAAAAGATTTATAAAAAAATAATAAATCATATAAAAAAAGCTTAAATTCTACTTTTTAAAAATATATAACAGCAATAGTCGAAAACAGCAAAAAATGAAGTTTAAGGCAGAAAGCACAAAAAAATAAAGTTTAAAAACGTAAATTTTTGTTTTTAAGAAATGCAAATCGTTCGGATCTCTCCTTAACTACACTAAGATTGTAAAAAAATCTAATTTTTGAATAAACATTAAAGCAAAAAGAAACCGCTTTTTTTAAAAGAAAAAAAAAAAACTTTTAGATCTATTTAAAAATCTGATTAAAAAATCCTTATTTACAGAGAAACAATATAGAATGCTATACTAGGATTTTTTAAAAGAATTTTGAGATAATAAAAGGTCCTTATTTACAGGGAAACAATATAGAATGCTATACTAGGATTTTTTAAAAGAATTTTGAGATAATCAGATCAAATTCTGTATCCCAGGAATGGAATCTTGTAAAATAAAATATGTTAGCAATATTTATGTAACAAAAAAAAATTACTTGTTTTTCTTTGTCTGATAAGAGATTTGCACAAGGATCCATTCTCATTTTTTCAATAAACTTGTTATCATTTCTGTTCAAATCTAAAGTCAATCAGTAAAGTAATAATCATAAACAAAATAAATCAAAAAATATTTTTAATTAAATATAATTAAAATTAAAATTAAAGCAGAATATTAATAACTTATAATAACTCATCTTTCTTTAGTCTACCATTCAATAAAACAAAAATTGTTGAAAAAAAAACTAATTTATGTGATTAAGTATGCTAAGCTGTGCTAAATGTGTCATTTATAAATGAGGAGTGGACTTGCAAAACCAGTTAATTCACTTTTTTTTTTTTAAAGACTTAGCAATGTTTTTTTGTAGTACTAGTATTTTTACATCTTTACAAATAAAAATTAAATTTAAAAGTTATTATCTTAACAACATTTTACTTGTCTTAAATTATTCTGTCCGAGCAAAACCAGATAAAAAAAAAATTATTGTCGATGCAAAATAAGACAAAAACTTTATTTGATCAACATTCTTTTTGTTTTTAAAAAGTTTTATAAAAATGGAGGACATTATTTCAGAAAAAAATCATGTACAAAAAATACATTTAAACAGTTACAATTGAGTTTTAGCTTAATATATATTCATCAATCCTATGAAAGTATAATGCAATAAAATTACTTTTTTTTAAAGCAAAGGGGCGTTTTGCACAACAATAATAATTATTAAAAGCATCAATTATCAAGCCGACTTCAAAAAGCTTTTTTGAAAACCAGTTATAAATAAATTTCCGATCAAAACAAGATAAAAAAAAATAATTGGCATGCAAAACCAGATAAAACATTTTTTCAATTTGTAATAAAAAAGATCAAAAGAGATTTTCAAATTTTTGTCTTGAACATTCTTTTAATGACATTTATTGTTTAAATTTATTTTTTTAATTTCTAGCTATTCGATTTACTGTAAAACACTTTTTGCCATCTCAGAATGAAAAAAAAGTTGAATAATCTGGTTTTGCAAATCTACTCCTAAAATAAAGTTTAAAATAAAGTGTTTTTATTTTAAACTTGATAGGTGTATCAAATTTTAAAGGTTATTTATGAATGTTTTGAAAAATAAATTTATTGATAGTCAAAGTATTTGCTTCTAAATTCTTTTAGAAATTTTTCAGCTTAAAAAAAAAAAAAAATCTTTAAAAGATAAATAAGATTACAAGCATGCTTAACTTTATAAAAAATAACTTGGTTGAAGGTTTTATAAAAAATAACTTGGTTGAAGGTTTTTGCAGCAACTTATCAAGTTGTTGCAATCTTACTGATTTAACACAATTTTTAATCTGAAAGTTTTATTTTTATACTTGAATATAAAAAATTTGAATGTAAAATGTTTGTTTGTAAACTGATTTACTTAATTAGGAAATAAAAATTGAAGCTTAAATAGAAAATCACAAAACCCAGAGGAATGGAGTCATGAGGAGTGGAATCACAAGAACACAAGAACCATAGAAGTGGTATATTTGAAATCTGTTTTTGTCATTCGCAGGTTATTGTAAGAATTCCTACAAAAACAAGAATAAATTAAAATGCATTGATTATAAAAATTATTAAAAAATTACCTGTTTCGTTAAAAAAAATCTTTGATTCTAAGCTGCTATCATCTTCAGATCTAAACAGAAAAACAACAGATTCAAAGTTTTTTTTACCTTTTGAACAGTTCAAACCTACATGGGACAGGCCAGGTGGTAAACAAACTTGAATCATTTTTAAACTCCATGTGTCCAAACACATTTTATTATTGATCTAGGTTTGTACTTGGTCTTGTTTCAGTATTGTCAAACCCAGACCTGACAAGACCACTAAAAACAATAACTACTTTTAGATAAAAATTAAAGTTAATGATCAGAATTCTTAAAAAAATGATTTTTTTATTCAGACACCAGTAATTTATGATAATTATACAAATTATACAGACACCAGTAATTTATGATAATTATACAAACTATTAAGACACCAGTAATTTATGATCAATAATTTTATTACTTTTGCCTAGTAAAATAGATAAAACAATCAGTAAATTAAATAAAATAATCAGTAGATTTATTAAAATAAAAATAATTCTAATATAAGCAGTAAAAAACCAAAACTTTGATCAAGTTTATAAAACTGTTAATAATAACTTTAAATACTGATAATAATAACTTTAAATACTGTTGATAATAACTTTAAATACTGTTGATAATAACTTTAAATTTTGTTGATAATAACTTTAAATACTGTTGATAATAACTTTAAATACTGTTGATAATAACTTTAAATACTGTTGATAATAACTTTAAATTTTGTTGATAATAACTTTAAATACTGTTGATAATAACTTTAAATACTGTTGATAATAACTTTAAATAGGTAGCATTAAATAGATTTTTTTTTTTATGTATATTTAAATAAAACATGCAGGAAGTGTGCATACATCCACTGAGGGTTTTTGTGAAGTATTGTGAAGAACCATAGTATCAATATTTTTATCATGCTATTTTTTGATCAAATTCGGGGGCTTAAATTTAACACCTGTAACCACCTGGATTGTAGATTTTAGATGTGCATTTAAGATTTAAAAAAGTTAATACATCAAAAAAAAAAAAATTGTAAAACGTTTTAAAGATATTTACAATTTTTTGACAAATATTAGCCTGGAACTATCAAATAGTAGCCTGAATTTATCTGCTTAATAGTGACTGAGAATTACAGAATAAAAAGACTTTACTGATTCATGTAAATAAAAAATACAAATGTAAATAACTTACTCTTTTTTAGATGTCTTTGTTGTCCGAGGAGGTGATATAACATGCTAAAAGTTAAAAAATATAATATTAGATCACATAAAAACCTGAAACTTTATAAGGTCATTTTTGATTTTAAACAATTTTTATTTTTGTTAATTACTATTTAATTTTGCTAGTTTAATTTATTTTTACCTTACTAGCATTATAACATTTTATATTTTTACCTTACTTGCATTATAACATTTTATTACTATATCTTTTATTTAGACTAAAAAAAAAACAAAAACGAATGTGTGCACACAAAAAAATAAAGGTTTTAAAAAATAAGTTTAAATTAAATTTTTCTTCCTGAATTTAAATTAAAAATTTATACAGAGAAAAACAGATCTTGTTGTTTTTGCCAAAAGTTATTTATTTTAGAGACATTCAGGTATATTAACACATGCGATTACTTGATGTGATTTATGAAATAAGCTTAAGTGTTTGACATCATTCAAGACTATAAACATTAACAACACTGAATTAAAATTTAAAATGAATATTGATGAAAACTTAATTTTTTTTTTTATTACTAAAGTATTTAAGTTTGTTTTGAATAAATTGTAGCAAAAATATGAAAGATATAATACGTCTACTTTTTAAATAAAAAAGAATTATAGACCCTCACAAAAGACCATCTTTTTCAAGTTTACTTTTCATTTAAAAATCATCTATATAAAGCAGAAGCATATCACTTGGAAGTATTTTTTTTTAAAAGCTGGATGGAGGGGGGAAGAGAGATGGAAGTCCATTTCGCTTTTTAATATTGAGCTGAAGTTTCTCTGATAAGTACTAGTTAGAGATTTTTGTGTGTTATTATGGGATATGAATATATTTGTATCATCAGCAAACAAATTTATTGAGATAACTAACATAAGTAATAGAAATAATAGGAATCTTAATATTTAGGAAATATAATAGGGAGCCTTTAGGAGATTTAGGGAATAATAGGGAGCCTTTAGGAGATTTACTGGTCATATTTAGAAAACCAGTTGAATAAGATCCTTCAACACAAACAAGTTGATCTTGAAGGTTAAAATTTGCTGGGGATACCATAATACTCAAGTTTATTAAAGAATATAGTAAAGTCTATAAAAAAAAGTCTATAAAAAAAAGTCTATAATAAAAAGGTAAACTCTGTACTTTTAAACAAATCAGTTATATTTTAAAAGTAAGATGTAAGTAAGATTACTGTTAACAGTAACATTACTGTTCATTAAAATTTTTTTTTGAAACCAATTTGGTTATTGCAGAGTTCATTCACAGCAAGATGATTGATTTTTTAGTTAAACTGATATTTATCAATTCATATTTAGGGTAGATTAGGGTAATATGAGCACCTTAAGCGAAAATCTGAATATTTTCAAAAATAATTATGCTGGTACTAAAATTTTTGTGATAAAACAATTTTTACGGATCTCTACTCATGATTCACTTAAATATTCGAGCACCCAAAATTTTTTTTTAAAAAACACAGAGGTTTTAAAAAAATAGCAAAAGCGCTTATATTACCAGGACCACTTGGTAATATGAGTACTTTATATTAACTCAAAAAATTACCATTAATTAGAAAAAAAATATTAATCTGACAATTAGAACTAACTTTTGGAATATGATGATTCATTATTAATAAAACTTATCATTAAAAGATCAAATTTTGACCACTTTTTGTTGAAACAATACTACTTTGTTTTCCGCAAAACAAAACAAAAAAATTAGTAAAAATTAAAATTTAGATATTTTTTCAATTTTATTAACTCAAACCTTTAAATGATAAAAATTCAAATTTTTTTAATTTAAATTACGGAAAAATATTTAGTATTATTAAAATAATAAAATTTTTACTATGTTTTGTTTTTATTCAAAAAGCAAAACCACTGCTATTATAGGACTTTAAACTAGGTAATTTAAATGAAAAACACTGAGTAATTTTAGCATGCTCATATTACACAAAAATGGCATCTATTAATAAAGTCAAAACTGAATGTATGAAAATATATTAATTTTATTGTTTTAGCACCAAAATTTCGTGTCACAGATTTATTCATGTGTGATGATATTAATTTAACAACAAAAAATTTAACAGTGTTTTAATTAAATGATAGCTAATAACTGCATATAAATTTATGCTAATTACATTGATTCCTGTTATAACCACATAAATTCAACTCAAAAAATACAAAGCGACTTTAACTTCATTGTTTACATCTAAGAAGTCTTAAAGTTTGTTCATATTACCAAGGTGCTCATATTACCCATATCTACCCTAGTAAGAGTTTCTCTACTTTTAAATATAGACATAATTTTAGCTGATTTCAATTAGTCTAGGAAAATTCCTTTATTAATTGAAAATTTGAAAACATAAAAAATAATATATATTGCAGCCTTATACATATCAATAACAACACTATTTATGCTGTGAGGATCAACTGATATGTTTGTTTTAATCATTTTAAACTCTGAAAAAGATAAAATCTCAATTCAATTTTATTTAGACTAGAGATGAGAGGAAGCACGCCATCATTTATTGGATTTATCATATTTTAAATGTTTTAGGCTAAATTAAGTTTAACAGATACAAAAAAGTTATTTAATAAACTTACTAATTTTTTGGTTCATATAAAAGTAAGCCATCAATTTTGATTGCTTTAGACATAGAGCATAGCTTAAATTTATTTTGACATAGAAATAGAACATTTATTTATTATGACATAGCCATAGAACTTTTTTTACCAGTAAATTGACTTAAAACAATGTTCACTTTAAATTATTTTATACTTCTAAATTATATATAACACTTTTTATAACTTATTTTTAGTATTGTTTTTTTTAAGTACTTTATATAAAGTTATTTTTGAGGATTTCTTGAGATCTTTATTGACCCATTGCAACTTGAAACTTTTGTTGGTTTTAACAAATTCAAGTTTCACAAAATTAACATCATTAAAATTTAAGGAAGTTTGAAAGAATACAAATTATTTGCTATTTATTAAGGAGCCTTAAACGATGATGCAAGATTTGATGATAAATGATGCAAGATTTGTATTGGTGGAAAAGCGTTTGATAGAGACATTTGTTTAATGAATTTATTTGATATCAATTTAGATTGAGAAAAAAATAGGGAATTAAAATTTTATTTTTATTTTATTTTTGAAAAAATAAAGATCTGCACATTGTTTGAAGACATCTTTGTTGAATTTAATTTTTTTGACATTTTTTTTTGACAATTTTTCTCCATCACCGTAGCATAATAATTTGTTATTTAACAGTTCTCAATATTTTATGAAAAAACTTAAAAAGTAAGAAAATTCATACTTTAATATTTATCATGTTAACTAAGAGGAAAAAATTGCAATATAATTGATCTGTTATAACACATAAATATCATAAATATTTTAAAACCATGCTTTTATTCATGTTAATGCAGGTAGTTCAAAAAATTAGTTTTGTTACTTATCTTTAAGTCTTTAAGGACCAGCAAATATTTGTTATAATTCGGATTATGAATTTAACTTAAAGGCAAAGTTAACTTCGGCTTAGACTTCAGTGCTGAAGTTGAAATAGAAATTTGGCTTTCAGTTAAATTCTGTAACATTTTCAAAATTTCAATTAACTTTCAGTTAAATTCAAAAGCTATAATGTTTTTTTCAATTTATAAAGAAGAAGAATTATAAAATATATCATGTTTTATGTATATCAACCTGTTTCTATTGGTTACCACCCTCTTTTAACTCTTTAATTCTGAAAAGTGTTTTGGAGTTAAAGAGTTGAGAGAGGGTGGTAAACAATATAAGGAGTAGCTTCCTCTACTAAAGTGGCCCACTCGGCTTTGGGAACATGAAGTTGTTAAAAAAAAAAAAAAAAAAAACATGTTGGAAATAAATTTCCCTTACATAGTCAATATTTGAAAAGACGTTTTTAGGCACAAAGTATTTATCACTTATTTAATCTAACTTATCCCTTTTCAAAAACCCTAAAGGGAAAAAACAGGTGAATATTTAACTTAATATTCTAAACGATCTTTTTCCTTTATAAAATTGATAACCAAAATATTTTAATAAACGTTGTAAACGTTTTAACATTAATTAGAAAAAAAAAATCAATCTGACAATTAGAACTAATTTTTGGAATATTAAGTTATGCTATATTCAGCCACTTTTTGTATTTTTAGGTGTGGTCACTTCACATGCTTTAAAAAAACCTTTTTATTACAGTATCTGTTCTATAAAAGTTGCCTAGAAAGACTTAAAATACAATAGACATAAAAAAACATTAAATAGCATGGAGCCACAAGGAACTAAATAATTAACCAACATAGATAAAGACAGATTTTAATATTTTTTTAATGAACTCACTTCCCTAAAGCCAAGAGTCTACTATTATGTTACAACCCTCTCTCAAAACTTAAACTTCAAGACACGAGCCTTAATAAAACTAGGCTGCAGCGTGGAGAAACAAGTTGATGTGACATCTCTTATGACACAATTTTAGAGGTCGTTAATTTATTCTTAAAAGTCAACTTATCTAAAAAGACTTTTTTAATAATGGCAAATTTGACTGCATAGTAAAAACCATATAAGAAACATTTATATTTACCATTCTTTTTTTTATTTCTTTTTTTTTCTCGCGTTGCAACTTGAATTCTTCATACTCTTGACAAGCTTGGAAGAAAAAAATTCTAATTATTACAAATTTAGTTTATATTAGGTAAAAAATTAAATATTTTTATTACTTTTACATAAAAAAGAATTACCAAGAAGTTTTTTGATACCGTTTCTTCGATATCGTACTAAATCCTTTATTTTCAGTTTTATTTCTTTCTCTCCTGTAAAATTTGTTAAAATTACATTTACCTTCAAATAACCTCAAAAATATATTGCTAGAAAGTGTTTTATAATATTTTTAAAAAGACAAAGAAAAATTTCAGAAACTTACTAATCCGATTATTTACCAATTCTTCCCACTGTTGAACAGATAAAAACTGAGCGAATACACGTATTTTATCTTTGAATTCTCTAGAGTGTTATTTTGTGAATTCAAATTATACAACAAATAATAAATTGTTAACTAGTGATTAAATAAAAAGCAAGATAAAAAAAGATTTGCCTGTCTTCCTTAGAATACTTTCTTCGAGAAGCTAAAAAAACAAAACAAAACATATTCTAATGCTTGCAATCATTAAAAACATTTATGATAATACAAGAAAATTATAAATTCATCAAAAACACATCAATAAAAGTTTTTACTATAAAACAAAATTTTACGATAAAAAATTTACTTATTTCATTTTAATGATACTATTTGTTGCATTATACATTTATACATTTAATTGAACGCTATTTTTACACATTTAATTGAACACTTTACCTATAAGTTTATGCTTTGTAGTGATTAGTCCATATTGTTTAGCTATTCTAAAAAATTATTTATCTAAATTATTTATTTGCGAACTGAAAACTAGACCAAATAAAACATTTACACCTGGATATCACACATAAAATCTCATCTGGATGTGTTTCATACAAAACATACTTTTTTGAATGTTTTGTTTTTAAACAAATAGTACTAGAATGAATATATAAATAAAAAGATATAAATAATTTAATCTTATTCAATCTGTAGTAAATGAAATAAAACAGCATGTTGTGATAGAAGAACATTTCTTGAACAAAAATATTCCAAAACTACTTTCTAACAGAACTTTGTAAATGCCCATGCACTCCTTCTCTATGGCTCAAATTCCTTATTTATTATGTGCTTGAATCATAGCGTTCTCTACTACACGCCTATTCATCGCGCAACCGCATTTTTTTGTGAAGGCCTACTTTTTAATTGCAAAAAGATTTTAAATTTCTAATTTTAAAACTAAAAAGTATTTTTAATTCTCTGTATAGCCTAATAATTATTTTGGATAAAAAAAAAAAAATCTCAAGTAATAAACAATGTAAATAAAACAAAACAAAACAAAATTCTTATTCAAAATTTCACACATTTACATATAATTTCACCTTTAGTTTTGGTTTTAACATCTAAAATAAAAAATTGATATATAGAATATTAGATAAACTTTGTTTAAAATTGTTAATAAAAATGAAAAAAAAAACTACTATATGAAACTTTTATAAATCTTTTATAAAATAGTATACTATATATATTATAAATAGTAGACAATTAAGCAGACTTCTAAGAAGTTTTTAATACTTTTAGTGCAGGTTCTTTGCCAGATCTTGGAGTGACAGTGGTATATAAATTTTTCTTTTTAATTTTCAATATTACACAATGATGTTCTTCTATATCCAATAAATAATAGTCTGATATAATCATAAAAATACTACTTAAGGATTTTATGCAAACATAACCTTTAACTGCTTGAAAAACTAAAAAAAAAAAATGTCTATTGGCACGAATTATCAGTTGGAATTTTAATCCACCACGATCCAAAGGTTTAGAAAACTGACCATATTTCTGATCATAGAACGTTGTTTGATCTAAAAGTTCATAATCAGTTCGTTCTTTATCATTTCATATTACATAACCAGCAATGTGAATAAGTGACATTTTGACATCATCAGCAATAAAAGATTCTAAATCTTGCAAGTTATCAAGAATTTCGCAGCAGTCTTCAAACATTTTGTATTGGCATAATGCATATTGATGACCAGACTTCACATTAAAACTGTCAATATCTACATTTAATTTCAAAAGTAAAGATAGGTAATTTTTCAATAACTTGTTAAACACTAAGAAAATATGTACCAACAGAACCTTGATAAAGTATACTATACTCTTTTTCCAGGTAATCTGATGTAAATTGACCAAGTACATAGTTTTGCGTAGTGTTAAGTAAATATCTTCATAAATTAACTAGTCCATCATAAGATTGATGTATGCGAGTAGTGATATATGGCAGTGTCATTAACATCACTATGGAGCAGCGTAAATTTTTTCAGAAAATACTCTTAAAACCATCAAGATACACTGTCGGAGAAATAGAAGTTTTATTTAGGTTAGATGAGTTTTTTCAGTTAACCAAAGATTACAAATATTTTTTATGAGGTGTTTAAAATCATAAAGTAAATACTTTCTATCTACTGTTAACCATGGTTTTCCCGGAACAAATGTGTACATTAAAAAAAAAGCCTGATTGACACGATTCCCAACACATATAATAGCTTTTACATTTGCACTGACTGAATCAATTATTTTATTGGTTAAATTAATCTGTTCAAACAAAAAATCAGATTGTAATTTTGATATTGGTATCATTTTAATTAACACCTTTGGACCCATGTTCAAACAAACAGCCATAATGCATAACAGTATTTTGGACAATTCCACTGGATTATCTACCAAATATAGTTCCACCTCCGATCTACCAAATATAGTTCCACCATGGTAAAGCAAACTTTTTTTAACATATATTTCATCATGTAGTATGATACATAACTTCCTCTTATCCGGAAGAGAGTTAAAAATTTAATAAATATATTTATTTTCATTGTGAGTGAGTGTTGAAATATAGAGAAGTTGATAATCATTTCTTAAGCAATTATATAATGCCCTTGATGTTGAAAAATACACAAAAGAGTGTATAACTATTTCAGGTGTATAAAGTTCTAATTTCCAATTGTTTTTGGTCCTATAACTGAAATACGATGTATAATTACTTCTTTTTTATTGTCAATTTTCAAAGAGCCTTAAAAACGAAGTATCAAATCAAACCAGGTGTCAACAGTTATGATTCGATTCACTGTTAAACTAGAAATGTGATACTTAATTCCATAATGAAATGTTTCAAAGGTAAAATTTTCATAAATTTTAAGTACAAAAAAAGGTATTTCATTAAAAAATTGCAAAGATTGTATAACAACATAGCCATCAACCATAAACAATATTGGTGATTACTGCTATTGATAAACTTGTTTTTAATGTCACAAAAATTAGCTTTATCCCTTTCAAGAAATGTGTTTAGCTCATCATCTAATGTACTTCTAATGCCACTTAAAGATCTTTTGGTAGTTCTTTATGTTGGATTAGCAGTTGTAATCTGAGATTAAGGTTTTACCAGCCAAACAAAAGGAGGATTTTTTGGTCAACATTTTCCTCCATGCACTATAACTGTATCAAAATTAGGAGGCCATTGTAACTCACAGATAACAGTATACTTGGTAACAACCAATTTAGAATTTAGAATAGCTTTAATCCGTTTTTCAAGTTCAACATTATTACTTGGAAACTGATACACTGATGTTTTATTAACTTCACTAGACATTTTGTTTTTTTCACTTTGCTAATTGATGTGACAAGCATACACACAACATTTATTTGGAATGATGATTTTATCTAAGTTTTATAAATATATTATTGGCTTTAAATTAAATCTGAAATTCCATGTTCAAATTATATAAGTTTATTAACATCGTATTATATTCCATAATTTAAATATATATCATAAACAACATGACATTTTATCTGGTCTGAACGTGGAGAAATAACACTTTTTTGCCGTAAAAAAGTAGACCTCCACAAAAAAAGCTGGTTGCATGATGAATAGGCCTGTAGTAGAGAACGCTATGGCTTGACTACAATAAGCCAATTGAACATAAGCTGGTATAAGTTAAACAAGTGCATAAGTTAACAATATAAAATTTTTCATTTGACTTTTGATTAATGCAATCTTAGATGACAACAAGCAACAGGTTAAATGAGGTAACAAATAAGTGCATTTAGGAATGCAATAAAGTTAAATTGTCCAGAGTTTAAACATGCATTTTCTAACACCAAGAGGAACGAATAAGTGTGAAAATGCTTTTACTGATAAAAACATGCCACTGATAGGATTGATGGACTTAAGTAAACATTTTTAGTTTTTTAAACAACTTTTACCACTTTTTTATGATACCTAATATTTTATTCAGAATTAGAAATATTGAAGTTTATTTAGAGGTGTATTTTTTGAAATTTGAGGACAATAAGCATGACACATAAACTCTGATAACATGTACATGATAACGTGGCTTTTAATTCATAACTAATTACAAATAAATTCTGATAACATCCAAAAGTTTTCAATTCACAAAAAATTACTGATAAATTATTATTAGTTTTAAAGAACAATAAATAAATAAACAATAAATAAACAAACAATAAATAAACAAGAAATAAGAAAAATAAACTAGGTTGTCATAGTTTTAAAAAAGTTCTTAAATACAATTATATGATAAAATACCAAAATATGTTTAACTCTCACTAGATTTCTGAACTTTGAAAATAAATAAACAAGAAAGATGATATAAAACTTTCTTCAGAAATGGAGAAAACAATTTTAACTTGTGTGTTTTAACTTGTGTTTGTAACTCATTTAATCATTCAAGAAATTTGGACTCAATTACTTTTGGGCTCACTTACTTGGGAAAATAAAAAGCAGCACATGTCTATTTTTTTTATTTGATTTAAACATAAAAATATAATACAAAAACATAACAAAAAAAAATATGTAGCATAATACAAGAATAACATATAATATAAAAAAAATTTGTTAAATAAATACTTTTTAAATCTTGCTCTTTCTTTTAAAGATCTCCAATACATATCTACCATTGATAACTTTAAAGCTATATATATATATATATATATATATATATATATATATATATATATATATATATATATATATATATATATATAATACATACATACATACATATATATATATATATATATATATATATATATATATATATATATATATATATATATATATATATACATATACATATATATATATATATATATAAATATATATATATATATAAAATATATATATATATAAAATATATATATATATATATATATATATATATATATATATATATATATATATATATATATATATATATATATATATATATATATATATATATATATATATATATATATATATATATTAGGGTGGAGCGATTATAAAAATTTTCGAAATTTGATTTGCCTGAGCTGCAAATCGATGTCTTTTGGTGAAAAAAAAAAACTTAATTTTTTTTTTTTTAATTTAGATGAGTTTTAGAGGTTCCTCTTTGGATTCTAAATTTATGACGGATCCTAATATTGTTGAAATTTTTTTTCTTCTAAACTATATCAACCTGGTACTCAGTGATAGAAGCAGAATAATATGCTAATTTTGAAAATAATATTTGTTTTAATTCAAAACTTAAGAGAAAAAAATAGTGTCATTTTTCATTAAAAAACCCCCGTCTTTATCAAAACAGGGGTTTTTTCAAAAAAATTTAAATTATTAAGAACCGTCAAGGATTTAGAATCCAAAGAGGAACCTCAAGATCTCATCAAAATCAAAAAATATTTTTTTACTTTCATCCTATAATTAATAGACATCGATTTGTGTCTATTAATTATAGGATGTTTTTTTTTTGGTTGTGGAATATTGATTTTTAAACTTTTTTTTTTTGCTATGAAAATTGCTCCACCCTAATATATAAATATATATATATATATATATATATATATATATATATATATATATATATATATATATATATATATATATATATATATATATATATATATACACACATTATATTTAATAGAAACAAATATGAAAATAAATATGCAGTAAACAAAAACAAGTACCAGTCTCCAGCTCATCATCATCACGACTACAAACCAAATTTTTCACTAAATTCTCTGTATCATTGTCATACTCCTAAGGGAAAAGAAAATACTAGAAATTAATATTAATTTCATTAAATGATTGTGTAGCAACTACAGCAACTTTTTATCATGGTGATAAAAAGCAGAACAACTTTTTATCTCAGTGATAAAAAGCAGAAAATATAAATTGTTATAACTTTGACTAATTGTTTAGAAAAAAGTTGCTATAGGACTGTGTTTATCCTTTTCATTGTACTAGTTTTTTAATTATTTGATTGCATAAGAAAGAATGTCACTAATTACTGCAACAAAAAAACAGCAAGTATAAGTATGTATTTGACCAATCAAAGCAAAGACTTCTTATTTTTTTGCTACTTCAATGTTTGCTTATTATTAGAAACTTAATTTATAATAAAATTCTCCCAACATGTTTTTTTTTTTGCATTTGTGAAATCAAAATTTGTTATCAACTAGAGTTATTTTGCACACTTGTCATAATGTCCTTAAAAGCAATTTTTTTCAATCAGTAACCATTTATCATTTTCTCACCCAGGAATTCTTGAGTTAAATATAAACTTATACTTTATAATTTAAAACTTTCTATATAATAAAATAACATTAGATTTAAAAATATTTTAAATAAAAAAATATTTCATGGGGTGCCCTAAGACCCTTGAACATTTAACAGGTCCTTAATATTATTAAAAATTAAGTTTTTAAAAAATTTATTATGTTGGGTCTCAAATGAAGCAAAATTATAAAAAAATATATATTTCAAGAATATTAACTTTTTTATATTAAAAAAAAATAAATTCTTAAAATTTGATTTTTTTACTTTTAGTAAAAAATATCATATGCAACAAAGTCCAAAATAATAATTTATTTATCAAATAAATAGTACTCTTGATATTTTTATATAAATATGCTTCATTTAAAACCCAATATGACTTTTTTTTTGATAATATTAGGCACTCATTAAATGTTTATGAGTCATTTTATAAAGGAATTTTTAAACATAAATTTTCGATAAATTCTTTTAAAACCATCTCCTTAAGTGCAAACTCACATTTACATAACTAGGATGGGACTTTTATAACAACAGTAAGATTTGGGTTATAATTGGTTTTACATTTAGCACAAAAGAAGTTTCACTATAATTCTTAGAGACCCCTTAAAATATCTTTTTACTTAAAAATTTATAAAGTCTAATGTCAGAAACTCAGAAACCTTTAGAGAAAAAACTGTTTTTAAGGATCACCTAATACATATATATACACATATATATATATATATATATATATATATATATATATATATATATATATATATATATATATATATATATATATATATATATATATATATATATATATGTATATATATATATATATATATATATATATATATATATATATATATATATATATATATATATATATATATATATATATATATATGTATATATATATATATATATATATATATATATATATATATATATGTATATATATATATATATATATATATATATATATATATATATATATATATATATATATATATATATATATATATATATACAGTAATGTAATCATATTTAAAACTTGCCATAATCCTAAGCCTGACCTTGATGCTGACCCAAAAAACCCTTAGTTGATGTAGCAGCACTCTGTTGCATGTCAGGGTATTTGATAGTCAATGTAGGTACTTATTACTCTTTATAAAAGTTGCTTACGGGGACATTTTTTTACAAAAAATGCTTAAAAAATTGCAAAATTAAAAATTAACGGGTAAACAAAAGCATTTTTTTTACAAAAAAACAAAACAAAAAAATGCTTACGCTGACAAAAAATTAACAAGTAAACAAAAGCATTTTTTGTAAAAAAATTTCTTTTTTTGTAAAAAAAGCATTTTTTCTTAAAAAATGCTTACACCGTTAATTTTTTGTCAGCGTAAGCATTTTTTTTTTTAAATGCTTATGCTGACAAAAAAATAAACAAAAATGTCCCCAATAATGGTAATGTCCCCATAAGTTTTTGTTTTTTTGTAAAATATATATATATATATATATATATATATATATATATATATATATATATATATATATATATATATATATATATATATATATATATATATATATATATATATATATATATATATATATATATATATATGTAAATAAATATGTATGTATACAAAGATAATTATAGATGTATATTATTTTGTATACATGAATAATTTTTTCACAGTTTAGGTTAAACTGTAAACTGTAAGCTTATTATTACTTGTATACAGGGCTTTGGAGTTGAGGTAAAAAAATTGGATCCAGCACCATTAAAATTTTTAGCTCCAGCTCCAGCTCTAGAGCAGCTCCAGAAAAAAAAAATCAAAGTAATAATATATTTTATAAAATAAAAGGTTTTGGTGGTTATATCAAGATTGCTTGATATAAACTCAAGTGCAGAAATAGCCTCTTTGCATATATTGCTTATATTATATATTTCTTTATATTGCTTGTGAGAAAGTTACAGAAGAGACTACTCTTTTAAACGTTTCTTTTCTTCTGGTCATGACATTTGTCCATAAAATCTGTATTAAAATTATTTTTATATAAGAAATTATTTTTGGTCACACTTCTCAACTTTTCTTTTTTATAAAGCTTTTTTTCAAACTTGTCTAATTCTTCATCAGAATAAGACTTACCTAAAACTGAATGAAGGCTTGTTTTGCTAATATATCTTACTCTCTTCTAACATTATTCTACAACTAGAATCAACATAAACAGCAGCTAGAAATATATTATGAATTTCTTAGTTTCTTCACAACATACCAAACCTTCACTAAAAGTTGGGTGGTGCATGTCTCTTTTTCAGCATCAAAATTAGCTAGCTGCAAAGTGAGAACAAAGCAGCACATCGCCTCAATCTTAGTATGTTTACACCCTTTTTTTTTTTCTTTTTTTCCTAAATTGCTGCACTTTCTTTCTTGCTTGTATCTTGTCATAAATGTTCCTCATGTTCTTCATCCTGTATAATTTCATTTTAAAATTTTCATCATCTAAATTTTTATTTAAAAGTGTTTTTGTCTCTAATGTTTTAAAGTAACTTTTAAAGTATGCAGCAACATTAACTACATAACATATTACAAAAAAACAACTTGATCAAAATTAGTTTAAAAAAAATGCAAGCACTTTTTTGAATGTATACAAAAACAACTTTATATTTTAGGTTGTCCACTAAACTCTTGTCGTTGTTTTAAACTAAAAAATTCAGTATTGAAATGAAATGTTTTAGTATAATGTTTTGTATTATTTAAAAGAGAACTTTTTCTTCCACAAGAAGTCTATTTGTTTTTTTTGTTTGTACCCATTTTTTTTATTTTTGAAGCATTTAAATTTAGTGTCAAGTGGACAAAAATGAGCACTTCTGACTTCACTTTCTTTTTGCATTTAACAGAGGTGTCAAAGCCATGGAAGCTGCTGAAGAGATTTGTGTCATATATAGAGAGGGTCTCATAGCTGAAAGAACTGCTTGATAGTGGTTTGCGAAGTTCAAAAATGGCAATTTTGACCTCAAGGACACATCTCATACTAATCTCGTTCTAATTCATAATCGTTTTAATAATCGCTACTAATCTCATTTAGCAATTATTTCAGCTATTAATCTCATTCAGCAATTATTTCAACCAATTGATAATAGCTCTGATGATGACAAGGAAGAAAATAATATAACTGATAATATAACTAATAACGTAAAACGTATCAAAAATGTATCAAGAATTTAGCTTAACAACTCAAACTTTTTATTTATAAAACTTGACCATCAGGAAATTGGAACAAACCTATTCAAAAGAAAATGGCTGTTTTTGAAGCTAGCAAAACTAGGCCCAAGTATTTAGATTTTCTTTTTAAAGCTCTTCAAACAATTCCTCCTACATCCGTAGAAGCTTATGATAAACAAATGAATACTTTTACGCATACGTTGTATACTTTTGTCTGATTTAACATAACTAAAATAAAGTTCAAAATAGTTTGAACTTTTTTCCATAATACTTTGAAATCTTCAGGTTCGAACTTTTAAAAAAAAGTTCTAACTGGAAGTCCTGACTCCAAAGCCCTGCTTGTATAGTTGCAGCAATAATACAGTCATTTAATAAAAAAATACATTGCAGTAACTAGATTAATTATTTGAATTTAAATTGTCAATAAAGACGCTAACAACTTCATCAATAAAGACATTTGCAACAAATAGCAACCTTGTCTGGCAAAGTACTCAAATAAGTCAATATAGAGTTAATCAATACAAGATCCCCACATATTTAATGTCACTTAGTAAGATTAGGTAAAGTTTAGCACATCTTGTCTTGTAGTCAAATGAATTCAACATTTTGGATTATTTTTGAGTTATTTTATTTGTGAAACTAGGTTGTATACAATCTGTTGCTTTAATGTCTGCTTTAAGATAAGGGCAGAAGGTATTGATAATTTGTAATTAATTAATTTTTTTTTTTTTTTTTTTCATTTGCATTCATTCCAAACAAGGCTGCAAGCAACCACTATTAAGTTGGGAGTTACTACGAAAAAAAAGAACAGAGTTATAAAGCAAGGAAACGGTTGACAGACTTGAAAGTTGAAAAAAACAAAGTTGAAGGTTGATTGAGTCAGGAAAACATGAAGATGGGAGGGAGTTCCAAAGGATTGAAGTGCGGGGAAAAAAACTAGATGAATAAAAGTTTTTAGAGCATGCAGGGACAGATACAGTAAACGAATGAGATTTAGCTGAATGACAAGTAAAACGAGAATGAATTTCAGTTGATGGAACTAGAGATGATAACTCCTTTGAGCAGTGACAATGATAGTATTTGTAGAAAAGAGAAAGAGATGCAACTTTACGATGATGGGAAAGAGGCTCAAGCTTAGCAGATAGTCCAGGTCCAACAACATTTACAATGCGTTTTTGGATCTTGTCAAGAAGAGAAAGTGAATCATTAGAAGAACCAGCCCAAATATGACAACAGTATTCCATACAGGGACGAATAAGAGATTTGTAGAGGTAGAGAATGGAATCAGAAGTAAGGAAATGGCGAGCACGATAAAGAGAAGCAACCTTAGCAGAAGCTAATTTAGCAATCGATTGTATATATGGTTTCCATGAAAGGTCAGTAGTAAGCGATAATCCAAGAAGACGTAAAGAGGAGGACTCAGTAAGAAGATTGCCATTTATTAATATAGGAATGTTGACCATATTAGGGTAGTTGTTTGCAGTAAACAACTGGGTTTTGTTAGAGTTGAAATTCACAAGCCACTGTGAACCCTAATCTATTACTGAAGTGAGATCGGATTCAAGATCAGCTGCTTGTTCTAGGCGATCGAAAAGAGAAGACTTTTTGTCAAGACAGTAGTATAAAGTTGAGTCATCAGCAAAAAGAGCTACTTTAGATGAAAGGTTGTCAGGAAGATCGTTTATGTAGATAAGAAACAAAACAGGGCCCAGGATAGAACCTTGGGGAACCCCAGAAGTTACTGGAAATAAAGAAGAGTGTTGGCCTTCAAGGATGACATTAATAAACCGGTTAAAAAGAAATGATTTGATAATCTCAAAAACTTTCTGAGAAACACCATATGAAGCAAGCTTATGGAGAAGACCAGCATGCCAAATTTTGTCGAAAGCTTTAGATATGTCGAGAGCAATAGCCCTAGCCTCACCGCCTCCATCTAATGCACGATAAAATCTTTCAGTTACAGCGGTTACCAAGTCGGCCATAGAGCGAGAGGATCGAAAACCATACTGATTATCTGACTGTAGTTTATTTGCCTCAAGATGAGATGTGAGGAATTTGTTGATCAAAGACTCAAAGACCTTGCTAATAACAGAAAGAAGACTGATCAGACGATAATTGGAGGGGTCAGAATTTTCTCCAGAGTTTTTGAATATTGGAACCACAGATGCCATTTTCCAACAAGCAGAAAAACAAGACTCAGTCAAACACTTGTTAAATAGTTTAGAGAGAATTGAAGAAAGTTCTGGAGAACAATTCTGCAAGACTGTGACAGGAATGTTGTCTGGACCACATGCTGTAGACGAGTTTAATTGAGATATGACTTTAGCAACAGAAGCCGGAGTGATTTGAATGTCTAACAATGGGTCAACCTGTTTGACTGGAATGGAAGGAAGAGAATGTCCAGAAGATTCAAGAGTGGAATTAGAAGGAAAGTTCTTTGCAAATAGTTCTGCCTTATCCTTGGGAGAGGTAATAAGATCAGTCCCATGAATGAGAGATGGAATGTTAGATCTACCCTTGTTAATAATACTGTTGAAGATTTTCCAAAAGTCTTTAGAGCCTAACTTCTGTAATAAGATGCAAGATTTAGTGAACTGAGAATAATGGAGTTTAGCATCAGAAAGCACCTTTTTACATCGATTTCTTGCAATAATAAATAGCCGTTTGTTCTCAAGAGAGTTGTTCTTTTAAAAAAGATAAAAAAAATGATTGCGATTGGATATAGCAGCCGCACAAGAAGGAGAAAACCATGGAGTAGAATGAGGCTTGACTTGAAACCGACAAGAAGGAATAAAAGCTTCCATTCCAGCCTGAATCCAGGAGGTTACGTAGGAGACGCATTTATCAGCTGAGAGAGAAAAAACATCAGCCCAAGGACCATCACAAAGAAAATCACAAAAAGAATCCCAGTCAGCTTTAAGGTAGTAGTAGGTGGTGCGATGATAAGGTGAGCCCAAAAAAGAAGTACGAGAAGAAAGATTTATAGAGATCATTGCATGGTCAGAACCACCTAAGGGAGAAAAGGGAGAAACTGAACATAAGCTAAGGTCAGAGACAAGACAAGTCAAGGAGTGAAGGTAAATGATTAGGGTTGTCAGGAAAACGAGTCACAAAGTTAAGTATCTGAGTAAGAGATTGAGAAACGCAGAAGTTAAAGGCTTTAGTGCCAGCAGGATCAGTGGTGTAAGAGCCAAGCCATTCGGTGTGATGGGCATTAAAATCACCAACAACAACAATATTGGCAGAGGGGTAAAGAGAGAGGGAATGGTCAATTTGATCAGAGATAACATCTAAAAGAGTGCAATCATGGGAAGAAGGAGAACAATAAAGAACAAAGAGAAAGGTGATAGAGTGAAGAAGTGCTAGACGAAAGCACATAAAAAAATGGTCAAAGGATTCAAACCTGATTTCACAACAAATAGGGGAATTAATGCGTATGTATACCCCTAAACCTAGCATGTGACTATTGGAGTCTTTAGGAATCAAAGGATAGTACCCATCAACACTGACATCTGAAGAAGGAATTGCAGAATTTAAATTTGTTTCACTGAGTGCAAGCAAGTCTGGTGAATTTTGCAGGAGGTAAGACTCAACTGACGGAAAGTTGCTTCGCAGACCGCAAATATTTGTGAAAGATATATTAAAACATTTAGGTGGTGGGGATGGTTTTTTAGGTTTAAAATTTTTGATTACTTTGGTCATGATTTGGGTTTAATGAGAACTTGACTCATTCATAGATAGAGCACAGCCCCCTAATCAATGAGTTATGCAGTTGTCTCAGTCCTGTTAATTAACCCTAAGCCGTGACATAGGGCTCCTTATGTGGCTTTGATAATGCACACCAAAAGCATTAACAGGGACACCATCCATGCGCAACATGGCACTGTTAATACTCTGATATTTTGCAGCTTTTGATGGAATCAGCCTCTCTGAGAGCTACCACAGAGTTCGGGAAACCTTACTACCAGCCAGCCTCAGAACCATTAAACTGAGTTATAGAGCTGTACCCTCATATGGAGATAACAGGAAGAGTTGCATAGCCATTATCAAGGAGATTTAGACACAATTCTATGAGTAGAGTCAAGGAGATCCAGCATTCATCATCCTAGGCAGGAAACAATGTAACACAGGTTACATCTACGCCAGCCTAATAGATGAAGAAGGGGTTCGAGGCTAGTTAGCAGAATTTTTCTGGTTACCCCTAAAGTCTTTGCCTAGAAGGCCTTCTACAAGACAGTAGCTGGATGCAGTTAACATCTGCCCAAAAGTATTTTTATCGAGACAGCATCTCTAGCCTTTACTCAACCAAGAGCCCCAAGGCAGGGGAATTTTTAGTTGGAGTTTATTGCTCCTAGTCTTTGCCTAAGAAGAGCACACTCTTCAAGGCAGCAGGGCTTGTGGCAGGTGGTACTGGGTTACGTGATACCAGTAGCAAGATTGAACTTGATTATCCTGACCTGATTATAACTTGCATAAGCTTACTTGATGTCAAGTTAAATGAGCCAAGTTATACTCTGTTGGAAAAAAGTCATTCACAAAAACTAAAACATTAATTTTAATACAATAAAATAAAATTTTTAATAACCTTTTGGGATGAACGTTTCAAATGCTTTGGCAAAATCAAAAAAAAAAAAAAACATCAACAAAAAGCTTACATGATATAAATATTTAAAAAAAATAATAAATAATTGTTTTCATATACAATTTAGTTACCACAATACCAACATTTAGAATTATTTATCAGATTTTTCTAATTTTAGTAAAACTTTTTGTATATTTGTAGCGCAGTAACACTTTTATAATAGAAACAAAAATACTAGTCTAAATTTAGATAAAAAATAGTTACCCTTTCAAAATCATCTCTTAGAGGCTTATAACCAAGTTCCAGCTGTTCTGATGGAGGAAGATCGATAATTTCTTCAGTTTGATGAATGGAAGGAAAAAATTCAGCTTAAAAAAAATCATTGAACTAATAAACCATAACCTATAATGATGAATAATGTATATCACATAAATAATGTATATCACATAAATAATGTATACCACATAAATAATGTATATCACATAAATAATGTATAAAATAAATAATGTATATCATATAAATAATGTATACCATATAAATAATGTATATCATACAAATAATATATATTGTATAAATAATGTGTATCATATAAATAATGTATATCATACAAATAATGTATATCATACAAAAAATGTATATCATATAAATAATGTATATCACATAATAGTAATCCTATCTAAATCATAAAAATTTAAATAACCTTAAAAAAAAAAATTATGATAATCAAATAACTAAAATATAGCTTAGGCTAAGATTTTCACAGAGCACAGTGTGACAAAAGTACAAAAAAAAAATTAATGATGCAAAACAGTTTAATGATGCATGTAATATAAATTATATATCTAAAGTATCTAAAGTGATTTCCTCATCTACAGCTTGTGGCCCGGACAACATACCTGTTATAGTCCTGCAGAAGTGTTCTCCAGAGCTGTCATCTATACTTTCAAAACAATTCAACAAGTGCCTATCAAAGTCTTGTTTTCCAGCTTGCTGGAAAGCAGCATCTGTTATCCCTATTTTTAAAAATTCTGGGGAGTGATCTGATTAGTCTAACTACTGTCCCATTAGTCTAAATCCTATCATAAACAAGGTTTTTAAAAATTTAATTAACAAGCACTTAATCTCTCATCTTGAATCTAATAACTTACTTTCTGATCATCAATATGGATTTCGATCTTCTCGTTCTACGGCTGATTTGCTAACAGTAATAACCAATAGATTTTACTGTGCATTAGATAAAGGTGGACAGATTAAGGCCATCACTCTTGACATTTCTAAAGCGTTTGATAGAGTTTGGCATACTGGTCTTCTCCATAAGCTTTCTTCTTATGTTGTATCTGGAAACATCTTTAAGATTATTGTATCCTTCCTTTCCAATCATAGTATGAAGGTTGTCCTTGATGGACAGCACTCTTTTTCTTATTCTGTAACCTCAGGGGTTCCTCAAAGTTCAACCCTTGGCCCTATACTCTTTTTAATTTATATTAACAATCTTCCAGATTTTCTCACATCTAAGGTGGTGTTGTTCGCTGATGATACTAGCATTTATTTTTGTCATGATAAGAAGCCAACTCTCTCTGATTGCTAGGAGGGGGCATTTGAGCTTGAAAAGGATCTCACTTCTGCTACAGCATGGGGTTCACAGTGGCTGGTAAACTTTAATTCAGATAAAACTCAATTTTTTTTTAGCCAATCGTTATGGCAAAAACTTAGACCTTCCTATATTTATGAACAGAAATATACTCGATGAGTCATCTACCCTTTATCTTCTTAGATTAACTCTTACTTCCGATCTTTCTTGAAAACCATATATCAAATCTGTTGCAAAATTAGCATCTGCTAAAGTTGCATCTCCTTATCAAGCTCGACACTTTCTTACTCTGGATTCTATTCTCTACCTCTATAAATCTCAAATCTGGCCTTGTATGGAATACTGTTGCCATATCTGGGGCGGATCTTCTAATGATGCCCTTTCTCTTTTAGACAAGGTGGAAAAACGCATTGTAAACATAGTTAGACCTGCTCTGGCAGCCAATCTTCAACCATTATCACATCTTTGTAATGTTGCTTCTCTTTCTCTATTCTACAATTACTTTAACGAGTACTGCTCTAAAGAGCTAGCGTCTCTTGTAGCATTAATTAAAACTCATCCTCGTGTTACTCGTCATTCAATTAGGTCTTATCCTTTTTCTATGACTGTTCCTAAGTGCTTCAAAACCTCTTATTCCTTGAGTTTTTTTCCTCGAACATCAGTCCTTTTGAATTGGCTTCCTTCATCTTGCTTTCCTGATTTATATAATTTGCAATCTTTTAAGTCGCCTGTCAATTGTTATCTTGCTCTACAATCTTCATCTTTTCTCTTCCAGTAACTTCCAACACTAATTAGTGGCTGCTTGCAGCCTTGTTGGAAGCGAAGATGTTTAGAAAATAATAATAATAAAATAAAATAAACTATTTAATTATGTAGTGTGGGGCTAAGCCTAAACTTATATATTTACATTAACTATTACAACAAAGCAAATGATATTGTTACTATGCAAATTTGGTGTCTAAAGCGACACAACAATTCATAAAAACAATATCTTTACAAATAACGTCATCCATTTAATATATATACCAAAATTTGTTACAATACTGTTATTGGTTTAAAAAAATAATAACTTTGTTTCAAATTGACTTTATAATTAACCAAAAAACCTGATGGCTATGCAACTTATGTATCCATAGCAACCAAACAACAAAAATATTACCTTTATAAGAAGCAAAGATCTCATATAGTACACATGCCAAGTTTGGTGAACATATGACTAATAAGTAAAAAGTTATGAATTTTGTCTCAAAAACCGGTATTCTGATCAATTGTGCAGAGGCCTTGTTTATCAAGGTACATGTTAAAAGGCTGCTGTAAGGTTGAGAGAGAGAGAGTTGTAACTACTAGAAAAATAAGAGGAACCTTTTTGATTGTAATGTCTTATTTGTAAAGAACACACACAAAAAAAACTATATAAATTATTTTTGAAAAAGTTTCAAAAATATAGTCCAGGACTTAAATTATTATAAAAAATTTAATTGCAAAAGTAAGTAACTTGTCTTTGTAGCCTTTACTCACGCCTTTCCTACCTGTATCCTATTATAAAGGTAATATATAAATATTAGATGGGCAATTTGCATATATAAGGTGCGCATATGCACCAGTTTGGTTTGGCTTATTAGCCAATGTAGATGGATTGGCCTATGCTGATTAATCAACTGATGCTATATGCCTAATGTTTATTGTTTAACAGTTAGGTTTTTTTGAATCCATATTGTTGATTATTCAACAATTACCTTTTTTTGAATTCACACTGTTGATTGTTCAACAATTGATTTTTTTCTAATACAAACAATTTAACTGATAACATACTGTTAACTGCTTTATCTAATATTTTAAATAGCTTGGAATTATATATTGAAATAGAAAGAATTATTAATAGGAAGCATTATTGAAATAGAATAGAACTTCAACTTAGGCTCCTAGATTTGTTAAGTTGGTACACTTTTTCTATATGCTGTAAATTTGTATTTAGATTTAGAAAATATATTTTGGGTGCTAGAAGAGATGCAATTCTTTTGACCAAGTTTTTTAGTGCATTTTCTTGTATATTTAGAGGTAAAAATTTGATCCAGTTTCCTTTTTTTTTTCTCTTTCGACAAGCAGACACGGAAAAACTTTCAATGTTTTTAAATTTAATTTAGAATGGAAAAATTTGTTATTAGAAAAGCTGATGTTTTCATTGTAGATATTCATTAAACATTGTGATTTGGAACCATCTTGGATTTGAAAGTTGACTAGTTGCCTTAGTTGGAAAATAAGATTTGATTACATTTTAGAACGTTAGCGGCTTAAGGTATAATTATTTAGTCCTCTATGATGCTTTTTTTTTTGGTTTATTGGTGCATTTGATGTTGCACCTTATACTTAATTCAGATTTTTATCCCTTGAAATATTTGTTTTTCTCTGACAGACAATCACACTTATTTATCTTAGATTATCAAAGATGTGGATATTTACACGGCTTTCAACAAATATTAAAAAAATTCTTTTAATTTAGAAGAAAAAAAATCAAAAGCAAAATGTATATTAATTATTTATGCATAATTTATGCTAGCTATTTATTAGTTGAACCACTATAAAAAATTAAAAAAACAATGAGAGAATATTAAATTTTTTTAAAAAACAAATACTTTGGGAAAAAAAACAAACCATTAGCAGCAGTATGGTCACGTATCTCTGATAAACCACGAGTTAAGGTTGCTAAAAAATTAAAAAAATACTAATTTATAAGCTTTTAAAATGTATATTAGCACTTATGCAAGTTTTATTGAAACACTAGATCTTACATCAAATTTTAAACTTAAATTTTATTAGAACTTACTTGATTAATACTATTGTTATATTATTATCACTTATTATTTGTTTTTTTCATTTTGTTATCAAATTTTATTATAACTTGTATGGCCTAATAAAAGTAATTTGATAAAATTTAAAAAGAACCAAACCTGCCGAGGCACACACTCTTTTGAAAAAATTAAACTATGGTATCTAATAAATGGTATGTAATAAATTTATATGTAATAAATTTATGGTTTGCTGTTTACTGACAAAAGTGAAGCGTTTCAGACAAAATAATCTATTTTAAAATATCTCGTGACAAAATATAAGGTCTCAAAACAAAATTCTTTTAATATTTAAAACAAGCGCAATATTTAAAACAAGCATCCAGGTTTTTATGCCTTTTAAATAATTTTATTCTCAAAACTATTAAACTCATTATATAATTTTTATATTTAGCAATTTCATTATACAAAGTACTAATCAAAAATTTTTGTATTTAGCAAGTTTATTACTTAAATTACTGATTACCTTAAAATTCTAATCGCTAATAAAAAATAAAAAAGAAATCTTTGAGTGTTTATTATTTCGTTTTTATATTATACTAGGAAGTGCTAATGAAGATTGCTTTCCAAGCAGATTAAATATTTGATAAGATGTAAGCATGCATTATTAAAAAAAAGTATAAGTATAAACAGTAAACATTTAATGATGTATAAGGTTAATTATGCTTAATAACTTGCAAAATAAATATTTGGATACAATATTGTGTCATTGTTGAATCTAAGGTTAGCTTTAATTAACTTGATTTTTGTTACACTAAATAAAATGAACATGCTCCTTAATGATCTTCATCTTATTGTTTTAATGACATCTTGAATAAGCAAAATCTAAGAATAATCCTTAAAATACAAAACTTGAAAAACAGATTATTAATTTCTTTTATACAATTTTGGAAACAGAAAATGATTTCACTTGGTATTTAGTTGACAAAAAGTTTAAAAATAACAATAAAATTTAAACTCAAATTTAAAAAAGAAAAAAACCTGTTCCAATATTTTTCCACAGATATATATCTTCAAAGTGTTCTTGGACTTCTAAATATTATTGATATATAAAAAATTATATAAAAAAAACATTTAATAAAAGGTTAAAAAAAACATATGTAAAGTATATTTAAAAAAAAACTTATAATAAAATAAAACACAAATAGTAAGACTAGCCTTCGGTTTAAACTTTATTAAAACAAAAGTATTCAACAATAGTAACTTTAAACAAGATAAATAGCAACCTGTGGCAGTAATGGCCAACCTATTAACCACAGGTTAGTAATGAGCCATGAACAAATTTTTAGCAACCCACAAAATACTTAAAAAATTGCTAAGTATTAAAAAAAAAGAACTTTTTGCAAAACTGAAAATAAATTATTAAAAAAAAATTTAATTGCTTTTTATTAAATAATATTTATGGTTTGAAGATTGTTTCATCACTGAACAGCAAAAAAAAAAGTTAACTTGCTTTTTAAAAGTATGCTAATAAAGATTGAAAAAAAATGTGAAATGCAATAATTAAATATTAATATATTCAAATACTCTTCATTTATATATAATATATATAAATGAAGAATATTTAAATATATTAATCATTTAAAAAAAAAATATTTAAATATATTAATCATTTAAATATATATATATATATATATATATAAATATATATATATATATATATATATATATATATATATATATATATATATATATATATATATATATATATATATATATAAATATATATATATATATATATATATATATATAAATATATATATATATATATATATTTATATATATATATATATATATATATATATATATATATATATATATATATATATATATATATATATATATATATATATATATATATATATGGGCTTAGGGGCTATTCTAGACCATTTTCGACAGTCAACCGTATTTGGGCGTCACCCAAATTCAAAATTGAGGACTCTTTTTCTTTTTTTTTTAAATGATTTAAAGCTTTTTAGTGAAAATATATCACAAAATTTAAAATGAACTTAATGAGAAACTTCAGGAATCTGGACATTGCTTCACATACTTATGAAAATATTTAACAATTCATGAAATCTTTAATTAAAATTGGTTTGTCTAAATAACAAAAGACAATGATCACGAAACTTTACAAAAGACCTAAATATAAAAACTTATAACATATTATTAAGATATATAAGAATATTATTGAAGACTCATTCAAACACTATGTGGCAGTTATGACTGAATTAAAAAATGCTTATTTCAAAATATTTAACCAGTTTTAAAAAATAAACCAGAGTCAATTTTCAGTGACTCCTCACGAAAATAAATTTTAAAAATTTAAATTGAATTATTCGACATGAATTATTCATATTTAGAAAATGGAGCTGATAGTGTTTCAAACTAACTTTCTATAGAAACAAAGTTTAAGGATTTATCTTTAAACCTGCCAAACAATTGTCTCCCAAACAAATCATGTTGAGTATACTGTATTTCAAAAAAATTTTGCCAGAAATTTGCAGTTGCATTGTACAAATTTATTTATTTTTGCAAAGAAATTTGCAATTGCTTTGTGCAAATTCATTTAGTTGCACAAAGAAGTTTGCAATTTAAAAAACTTAAGTTTGGTTCTTATTATTAATGTAAGATATGATTCACATCAATGAACTTATACAAGTATTTATGCAAGGTATTATTCATACCAATGAATTTTATAAAATAACTAATCACAAACAGACTTGGAAATGATATGACTGCAGTTTGTATCAGGTTGAAACCAATTATAAAGATGATGTTAATCATTTTCGCCTTCGAAACAACTTTGCACTATCGTGATTATTAAACTAATTATTAATATGATTACACTAAATTTTAAATTTTATTATATTTAAAATATAACAGATTAGTTAAAGTTCTTAAGATATTTTAATGATCATTCAGGTCATATTTTGAAAACACGAAAAAAAAATACAGAAAAATCTGTATTTTTTTTTTTCGCATAATTTCCTTAATTTGTTTGTCTTAATTTAGCTTTAAAATGGCTTTTTCAAATTTTGCTAATGATGGATAGTAAGTGAAAAAGTTAAAAGATTAATATAATGCAAAAATTTTCACATTTTACTACGTTAATTGGTATCAGATAAACATGCCAAAGTTGTCTGTGTACCAGAGTTGAGCCTATATAAGCAACAATATTTTTTTCAAATTTTTGCAAATATTGCGGGTAATTTTTTAGAAAATTTTAAAATAATTTTTTAATTAATTTCCTTTTGTCAATTTCTGAAAATATGTTTTAGAGTAGTTAAGCCAGTCTAGGTATTACCATCATAACCATAAAATTTTACCTTGAAATGATTTTGTACCAACATGGTCAGCAACATCATCCCTATTTAACAACATGTAATAAAATAAACAATAAAAATAAAAACATTAATGTAAATATAAAGCTTTATTTTTAGATTTAAACACTACCACAAAATCAACTACTGAACATTTACATAATACATTGAAAATTAACTAAAATTATTCTGCCAAGTTGAGAATTTTGTATACTGCTTCCTACAAAAATATACTTCTGTTCTTTGCAATGAATTTGAAATCTTCAAGACATCAGTAGTAAAGAATATTTCAAGAAGATGAAAATAAAAAAAATAATATCACACACACACACACACACACACACACAAACACAAACACAAACACGCACGCACCCACACACACATTTTACATAAACTCTTATATATAGAATTTACAAAATTATTATAGAATTACATTTTCACTCATATATTTATATAACGATAATTTACATAATATGTTATATTTATATAAACGAAAATAAAATAATACCAGTTTCCAAGTCCATGTTGTTCGATTCCATCAAGAAGCAACATTTCTTCATCAGCTGTCCAATTTGGAACAAACAAACTGAAAGTCCCATTATCCTAAAAAAGTATTAAAAAATTAATGTAGAAAAAATTGAAAAGTAAAAAAATGCATTAACTCAAAACAAAAAAAACTCACAATAAAACTGTATCTATGATTCTTTTTATGGTTTCCTACTTCTACACCTGATGCAAAACACTAAAAAATGCAAAGAAAGAATGGTGTCTACAATAAATATGCATATCTATAGCTATTAAAAAACTTTTATAAAGCTGTTTAACTTAATGTCATCATTCGTATTTAGTAATACAAACATCAAAATTGAAAATAGTCACAACTAAATAAATTTTCCACATCAAAATATTTCTATATTTTACAGTTGCAAATATTTTGTTGAAAAAGAAAAATAGATAATAACTAAGTAGATTTAAGTAAATTTATTTAATGCAGCCATAATTATTTGTTGCATTCGCAAAAACAAATTTTTTTTGTGTGTGCATACCCAGCAAACATTGTTTTAGTGGATTCGCAGTGGACCTATATAGGCATTTTTAGCGGTTCATTGGAGTTTTGCTCATCAATTATTTAGTGGACCATTATTTGCAGTCGCTATAAATGGCAAGCTGAAACGGCAATTCATCATCTAGCCACTTTTGGCGGCTGCCACTAATAATTCGCTAAGTAATCGATAAGCAAAACTACAGAGACCTGCTCAAAATGCCTATATGATTTACTGAAATTCCTCTATAACAAATTTGCTGGGTATTCTGGGTATATTCTATATGGCTTTAGGTGTTGAGTGACGTAACTAAAACATATAAAGCAGGAAGAGCCATACATGGTCTTTAACTCAGTCCATTTTTTTGCAATATAGAAAAATTGGAATGCAAAAATTACAAGTGGTATGATTTTCATACCTTATAAGTACTGAAAGCACTAAAACTTCTTGAAGCTTCCAAATATTCTAGGAACTTTTACAAACATTTAAAAAAAAGTTAAAATTTAGCGTCATATGTTTATTTAAAAATCCTAGAGTATTTTTAAATATTAAAGCCTTATACTTAAGAAAATAATTTTTATTAAGAAAGCTCATGTCTTTATTAAAAAAAACATTTAAAACATATTTATTACTAATACTGCAAAGAATGTCAATAACAAATAATCAATTGCTAAATTGAATTTTTTCAACATAAAGATGAGTTTCCACTCATCCGTTTTTTCACGGGAACCGGAACGGGACGGCAAAAATAATCACGTGGGTATGCGTAGAATAACTTTTAATATGTCTGAAGAAAAACTACGCATGCTCACATGATTATTTATCCCGTTCCTGTCCCGTTCCCGTGAAAAAACGGATGAGTGGAAACTCACCTTAATAATTACTCATAACTTGGGTTATACAAAAACAAAAAACTTCAATTTTGATTGGTTAACACTAATTTTTCTTTTTGTTTAACTATTATTATTGGTTTAATAAAGTGTTTTAAAGAAATTAACTAAGTTTAGATTTAAAATCTTTACAAACTTTTTAACATAATTTTTTTAAATAAAATTTAACCTATAAAATAATATATGAATAGGGGAGGGGGAAGGTAAAAGTAATCAGAATACTTCCCTCTTAACTAAAGATCCAGTGTTAAGTAGGGTGGCTCTTAAAATAACTTTTTTGAGAAAAACCTGCTTTGACCACTTTAATTTGTTCTATATAATACTAAAACACTACGTTTAAAATTATTTTAAACAAAAAATATTTTTAGGGTTAGCTCAGGACCCTTAAAAATTTGACGGGTCCCTAATATATTGAAATAAAAAAGTTTCTAAAGTATGTCAGCCTGGTACTCAAAATAAGCAAAACTATATAAAAAATTTAAAATGGAAATCATTTTTCATAAAAATAACTTTTTCAGATATAAATACATTAAAACTATTGTTGTTAAGTTGAAAATAAAAAAAGTCAATATTTTCAAGTTCAAAATTATTCTCAAATATTTTTGAGATAAATTTTTTTAGACATGTTTTTTACATAAATTGATTATTATTTTTAAAGTTTTTTTATTATTTTGCTTCTTTTGAGTACCAGGTTGACATACTTTAGAAAAACTTTTTTTTTCACAATATTAGGGACCCGTCAAATTTTTAAGGGTCTTGAGCTACCCCTAAAAATATTTTTGTTCAAAAAAACTAGTCTAGTGTTTTAGTATTATATAGAACAAATAAAAGGGGTCAGAACAGGTTTTTCTCAAAAAAGTTGTTTTAAGAGCCACCCTAGTGTTAAGATATCCTCTTTAAAGTTCTAAAATTTACAACATGTTATAAAAAAAAATAATTTTAAATATGTCATTAAAATATTACACTTTAAAACAAATTTTGTTAAAAAACTACAATTTTGACATAAAAAAAAGAATATATAAATCATAGAAACTTGTTTCATTCTAAACACTCAACAAAATATACTTTGACTTAAGTCATGTTTTAAAATCAGGCCAGATTAATCAATATATTTACATAAAAGTAATACCAATAAAAATGTTTCTAAAGCCTCATTAAGATACATAATTTGAGAAGAAATGCAGTTTTTCAATTCCTTTATGTGATTATTCTTGCATCCACCTGCAATCCTTTGCATCTGCAATCCTTTGCATCCACCTGCAAAAACTTGCTGTAGTTGGTATTAATTGAACTTAAAATTATTTTTTCTCCACTCTCAAGAGTTCTATTTACACCATTGACGGACATACTTATTTCCAATAAGACTCTTTAAATCAAATGAAGACAACATTTTTGTTCAATTGTTATTTAATACTTAAACTAGCGGTTGCAATAGTTTGTTAATATCACCATTAAGTTTTGAAACAACTTCATATAAAGCTAAAACCAATACTCATCAATACTCATCAGAATCATCGAAAATGTTTAAGAAGTTTAACCGTAAGAGTTGTTTAACAATAAAATAATCATAATCCAATTAAAATAAATATGAATAATTAATAGTAAAGAAGTGGGTATAGTAAAAAAAAAAATTTCACTGTTTTTACACAATACCATTGAACAATAAACTTGATGAGTTAAAGAAATACCTATAATCATATGCATGTTATTAGGCTTTGAGAAACCTGGTCGACTAATCAATCAGCAATAAATATAAAAGAAAAACAACAATCAAAAATCTGCTTGTAGACTTATTTTAAAGGAGGAGTTTATATATACTTAAAAAAATACAACAAAATCATGTCCTGTAACTAAAACCTATCTAGATGATAATGTCATTAAACAAGTATTTAGTAACAACACTTACTAGTAAATGGATTCAGTAAGAACACTTATTAGTAAATGGATATAAAATAAGAAATGCAAAAACAAACAAAAAAAAGAGTTAATAAAGATATTAAAACTTTTGAATTAAATCTGATTAAAAACAACCCTGTGACGTGTTGATGCAAATTTAAATACTAAACATTTCTAAAAGATTAAATTAATAGAAACTGTTGAATATAACAAATAACTATATAGTTATTTGTTATATAACTAATAAAGTAGATATTGTAAACTGTTTAAATAAATATTTTGTTTCAGTATTTTTTAAAGATGAGTAACTTGAAACTATTTTTCTTCAGAATATAATTTTTTTTTTATTGATCCAAGTTTTACTGACACAGACGTTAAATGTAAGTTAGTAAACCTTATTGTAAATAAAGTAATCGGTGTTGACAAAATCCATCTTTGTGTTCTCAAAAAGTGTTCAATATCACTTTCTTTACCCTTATCACTGATCTTTAAAAAGTTATATTAAAGTGGTATTATACCAATAAAATAGTTTCAAACATAAGTCCATTGTTAGATCCTTAAAAAGTTCCATCAAACTCGTGATTAAATCATTAACATCAATAGCATGCAAATTTATGGAAAAGATTATTTGAAATCACATGATGAACCATTTGATTTTAGATAAATTGATAGCAAGTAAACAGCATTCTTTGGGTTTGTTAATGGTAAAGAGCGTTTTGCAGATGAACAGTATTTTTTGGGGTTTGTTAATGGTAAAAGTTGTTTATCTAATTTTTAAGAGACTTTAGATTTGATAACAAGAGCAACTAAAGCTGGTAACAATATCGATATTCTTGAACTTTGCAAAAGCTTTTGACTTTCCTCATTGAAATTATGTTGCAAGCTTTATTCTCATGGTTTCCACTTCTGTAATCTACTTTTTTTTTGAGAAACCAAGAAGCAACATGCTATTTAGATATATCCTAATCTTAAGGCCAACATAATTCCATTGGATAAAAATTGTAAGAAGAAAAATATTTACTAAAATAATATTTACTAAAATAATTACTAAAACTCTGTGCTAATAATTTTAATAGTGCTGAAAATGTGAATATAAAAAGTAAGGCATTTTTGAAAAACAAAAACTGAAGACATACTTTTAATGGTGTAAAACATTTCTTGGTAATGAAAAACAAAGAGTTGCTGGGTGAGTCTGTGTCAGGTTAGCAGAAAGTCACAAGTGGAGTACATTTCAATATGAAAGCAGCGCCAATTCTCTTTAATATTACTTGAACAAGTTTTTATACTAATCAAGTAAGTGATCAATTAAGTTTAATGGAGGTAAGTGTCAAGTAATGCGCACTGGTAAATAGAATCCTCAAAATAACTATAAATTAAAAGATCATACTTTTAAAAATCATGTTATAAGCAGTGATGTGCTATCAAAATTTTAAAAACTGGCTTGAATACACTTACACCATTCACATCACCCCGGTAAAAAAAAATTCTTATGTTTATTTTTAGAACTTAGTTAAAGATTTGGTTTGTGCAAGGTTAATGCTTTAGATGATAATAAATTACTAAAATATTTTTAAATTAAAATCTTTAAATATTTAGGTACTTTTTGTTTGTTTTTTTTAAGTTAAATTATATAATACAAAAAATTAAAAAAGCTTACTAAAATAAAGGTAAGATAAAAATGATTAAGCATTAAAAATTACTTTGACGTTATTCAAAGCTCCATTTTTGATTTAATGAAAATTTGCAAACAAGAGTCAAGTTAGTTAAGCTATTAACTTCAACATGTTTGACCTTAATCTGTTTAATTGAACTTCTTGTTTTATATTTAATAAGAAACTCTGCGTCTGAGAGTTATTGCTAGCTATTAACATTAGCTAATAATTTAAACTTTAGATATTTACTGTAAAAATTAGTTTTTGTTTAAATAAACCAAATATTTTATTTAAAGTTATTGATACAGAAGTAAGAAATTTCTTTCCAAAAGGGTTAAGAAACACCTCTACAAAGTTTTTAACAAACCATAGCAGCACATCACTAGTTATAAGTGTTGTAAATAAAGCTAACGAACTCTAGATTTCATAAAACATGCCTCTAAATATATTGATGTTGCCACATTAATTAAATGCCACGTTATACAAGTCAACTACTAGGCCATAACTTGAATAATAAGCAACAGTATGCAGCCCATATAAGATTAAAAACATGAACAGACTGGAAAATGTACAGCACAGATCAACTAGGATTGAAACACTGGGGGGCATGCATAATCAAGAAAGGAAAAAAATGTTAGGTTTGCCTACGTTACAAGAAAGGAGTAACCCTGTCTGCCATTAATCGAAACTTTTGCAACAGTGTAATAAGGATTCTCTTTCATTAAAAATCTCCTTCATCATTCATATGAAAATGTCCCTTTAATCTCTGAAATGAATGATCCAGTTTTGAAATCATAAAAATCTGACAATATGTTATGCAGCTTCTAAGACTTAGTTATATATATCAAGTTCTAATTTCAACTTCCCTAAGTTTTGTTGAATATTTTTTGATAGTAGATTTGTCTATATTTTAATCAGGTTTAAAGTATTTGAGGTCATTATAGCATCTAAAGATTATTTTAAAGGAAACTCCACTACATTTTTTTTTTCTTCGAGAAAACCAGAAGCAACATGCTCTTTAGATACATCCTAATCTTTAGGCTAACATAATTCCATTAAACAAAAATTGTAAGAATAAAAATATTAATTACTAAAACTCTATGCTAATAATTTTAATAGTGCTGAAAATGTCTGTTATTTCTCAATCAAATCATTTAATTTAGATGTTTTGTTAGAGTTGCCAGATATTTGACTTTTACGGAGGATAATAGAGCACTAAATCTGAATAAATAATTTTTTTTACTGTGTTTTACTTCATAAAAGCCGGATATCTGGCAATCCTATGTCTTACCCCTGAGCAGAGGTGGAAAAAGTAACAAAATTTTGTACTCAGGTAAAAATACTGTTACTTGAGTGAAATTCTACTCAAGTAAAAGTAAACGTAAGCGGTCAAAAAGCTTACTCAGGTAAAAGTAAAAAGTAGCTCATAAAAAATGTACTCAGGGCAAATGTTATCACATTACTTTTTTAACAGCCATTTTTAGGTAACAGACCTGTCAAATAACAAAACATAAACAACATGGTCTATTCAGTATATCTTTACAACTATTATATTTAAGCAATATTTTTAAGTGTGCGTTTATTAATAAAAATAATATATTATTATAAATATGTAATTATTTTATAATCATTTTATCAGTTAAAGCATGTTTTTTTTTTTTGCTATTGTAAAATTTGCAGAAACATAGATTTGGCAAACTTATCATTACATTTTGCAAAGATATGCACGCTATGTATATATGTAAAAAATGCTGTGAAATTTTTTTCTTAAATACAAGAAGTATCTTAAAGGAACATCTTTAAAATAAAGCCAATAGTTGTATAACTACAATATATTTGTTACTTTCCACCTCTGCCGTTGTGCATATAAATTTATTTCATACGTGTAAATGCTTTTCAAATACTCATTGCCTGCATCATATTCTCTCCATAATAAAGTTATATATGCATTCCAGGAATTACTTTAATAATTTATATGATTCAAAAGCAATAAAACAACAAATTAGATATTTTACTTCAGCCATTTTGAAAAAAAAGAACTACTAATCGTATTAGCAATTCTTTTTATCGATATTGCAATATTTTTTTTTTTTTTACCAATATGAATGGATGATATTTTATTTTTTTATTTTTTTATTTTAATGCACCTCCTCAAGGCCGAGAAGGCCACTACAGACGAGGAGGCTACTTATTTGTGGTTATAACCTTCTCTTAACTCTATAACTCTGAAACACAAACCTTGACGAACAAGGCCGCTGCGCGGAGAAACGAGTTGAGCGCAGTACTACCAGGGACGTGGTATATAACCATAAACTTTAAACAGATATTTTAAATAAATCTAAAACAACTTTTAATTTTTAATGTTTAAAAGTGCGTTTAAAGTTTAAATATTATTTTAAAACACTTAATTAGTTCCAATAATAATAGTTGAACAAAAAAAAGATTGAGTAACCAAAATTTATTTTGGAGGTCACAGAAGAGCACAGTGATAAGACACAGATTGTAACATGGTTTTTGATGGAAATTTCTGTCCAGATAATGTGCCCAGAAATTTAAAAAAAAAAAATTAAAATATCTACTTGAAATACATTTTGAAAAAGCAACCATTACAAATGACACATTGTTTTAAATAATAATACTGGATATTATCATTAATTACCACCAATTTAAAATGTTGAAAATTACTTTAATTTTACCTAACACGCTTTAGTAACTCAGAATTAGTCCAGCTGAATAATATTAATAATATCCAAAATATATTAATATAAATATATATGATATTGCCTAAGTTTCAGGTGGGATTTGAAAGTTATATTTTATAAAAAAAAGATAAGTTTATCTAGGAACAGGAAGTCTTAAAAAGAACTCTAATTTTGAAAGTCACAAAATCACAACTACTCCCTAAGCTTTGGTGTTTAGGAGCATCAAAAAATGTTGCAAGATTAATTCACTACTTTGAGAAAACAAATCAGAATAAAGCTACCAAAACTAACATTTTTGTGGTTATATAAAATGGTAACTAGGGTCTCTTCACTGAAAAAAAATAACTTATAAGACTTTAAATCCTCTGTATTTTTTTGTGTCAATGTACTCTATAAGTTTCTGAACAAGTTGAAGCTCCTGGACATCAAAGACCTGGAAGAAATAGATATTCAAAGCCAGAGAGCTTTTTAGACTTCCTGTCCCTGTTTCTACAGTAAATAATATCTAACATGAAGACACGCATCAAACTCAGCACAATCAGCACAAGAAACTCGAAGTCCTGAACAGTCACCAAAGCAAGAATTACAATGATACTTTGTTGCTGAAATAAAGCAATTTCTTATTCAAAAAAAGTACTATCAAAATTATTAACAGAAACTATATAAAAGAAAAAAATAGAATTCACTTACCATCTTGAATTGGTAATGTTTGTATTTGATTATTGCCTGTTGACATATTTAACAATTTTAATAACTTATATTCTATTTATTACAAGAAAGTAAAGAAAACATTATATTATATTATATATATATATATATATATATATATATATATATATATATATATATATATATATATATATATATATATATATATATATATATATATATATATATATATATATATATATATATATATGTATATATATATATATATATATATATATATATATAAATGTATAAATGTATATATATATATATATATATATATATATATATATATATATATATATATATATATATATATATATATATATATATATATATATATATATATATATATATATATATATATATATATATATATATATATATATATATATATATATATATATATATATATATATATATATATATATATATAAGGCTCACATCGTTTCATATAACATTAGAAAATTTCTGTAACATTCTAAAACAAGTTTAGCAATATTTAGAAGTCAATAAAAATTATACTTCCAAGTATGCAGACATAAGAGCAAAAATTTTATTGTTGGCTTCGTATCTTAATATTTTAAATTATGCTTATAAATTCATCATCATTAGTTTTTAAGTCCGAAAAATAAATATGGGTTGTAATTATTACAACACTGATTTCAAAAGAACAGCATATAAGTGCGATGTACAAAGTAAAAACAAAAATGTACAAATAACAAACAAAAGGTTATTTACTAATTATTCATGGCAACTAGTTAATAATAATAATGCAAAATGCAATAAGCAGCCTATACAAATTGCTAACCTTTAAAGTTATTTTATTTAGCCAAAAAAAAAAATATTATAAAGAAATGGTAATTAAATAAAAATGTTTAATTAGATACAATACCAATATTTCATATAAAAGATAATAATTTTAAAACACAACACAACTGAGACTTAGCATAATAATGTTTAACTATCAATGTGTAAGAATCCAACATTTAGAAAAAAAACTTTTTATCTGAATTATATAATTAAAGTTATGTAATTGTTAAAATTTTAAACAATTTTTTTGAAGAAAATTATTTAATTTACTGAATTGCTTTTATTTTATATGTAAATAAAAGCAGTTCTATTTTCTATCAAGTTTACACTCAATAAAATCTATAATTAAAATGTTATTATTACTTAAATTGTGTTTTCAAATTCGCAATAAAATAATAAAATAAAAATCTTAATTAGTTTTTGTGCTCTTTTAAATAAAAAGGAGGATGTTAATCACACTACTAATTGGCTCAGCAATAGACCTAAAAGCAAACATTAATATAAGTTACAAGCCATCTACTTTTATAAAAAAAATCTTACCAACTTTTTGCAGTATAGAGATTTACTATTTTATTTAGTTTTAACTAAGATATGGTTAAAGCTAAATATATAGTAATAAATAAAAAAAGTTGTACAAAGGCTTAGAGTTTTTATCTAGTTTAATATTATCTTTCCAACAAGTCATTCTATTTTGCAACTGAGTAAAATTTTACAAAATCACTTTAACTATGTTTAAAGTTACAGTTAAAATAAACTTATTAATTTAAGGTATTATTATTATGTTAAAAATAAGTTTATTTTAATTTAAAAAAATAATAATTTTTTTCAAGCAAAAACTGTTTTTAAATTCTTTTTTTTTTTCAAACTTTTTCCAAATCCTCATTTCCTCCTCATTTACTTGATATAATTATCTTGTATTAACACAAAAATTTTAAAATTTGCTTTTTTCAAGATTTTTTAAAAGTTGTTGACCTTTACAAAGCATTTGTAACAAAACTAAAACTATAACTAATCTCCTAAAATCTATGCTAAAATGGCTGTTTTTTATAACCTCACCACTAAATTGAGTTTTACTCATAATGCGAGTAAATTATTTATTAGTTAGGTTAGTTATAGCTTTAGCTTTGTTACTTATGTTATTTTTTTTTTACTTATGTTATTTTTGTTACTTGCAATGGATATTATTAACTGTATCAGAATGCAGGGCTTTTGCATCTGTCTTTTTCATGCTATTTGTTGCAACTCTTCTATTTGCAAGATTATTGGAATTTTTATGCAAGTCTCAATATGAGTCATATTGAGACTTGCATGAAAATTCTAATAATCTTGCAAATAGAAGACCTGCTATGAATACCATGAAAAATACAGATGTAGAAGCCCTGCATTCTGACACAGTTAATAATATACACTGCAATCAAATTTTTGTTGATGTCTTCTTGCAACAACATAACTCTTTTTATTTTGCTTGGTATTGTTGCAGCCGTAATAGGGGATGTGTGGATGTGGAAATTAAGTCTAGACAGTATTATCGCTACAAATATAGATAGGTAATGAAGTTATATTAGCATATGAACAGTGGAGGTTAGACTAAAAATGTTATATAAATGCTCTTTAGGTTCCATGGAAATAACAGGTGTTGTTAACAGAAAATGATCTTGTAATTTTATAAAATTACAGAAAATGATCTTGTAATTTTATAAAATTACAACCTTGAATGTATTGATTCATATTGAGACTTGATTAAAGGCTAAGGAGTAATACTTTATATACTTTAGCTAAGATGAATATCAATAAGTGAAATTCGATTGGATCTCCTTAGATCTTTAACTTGGTTTTATTAACTATCTATACAACTCTATAACTTAATAAGTTTAAAATGTTTTGTATTTGCTTCATTTGTTATAGTATAACAAATGAAACAAATACGAAACATTTTTGTTTCAATATGATAATTGACATAGTAAAGTTTTAATAAAAAATACTTTAGCCTTTGAGAATTAGTTTGATCTCGTTCAATTAAAAATATTATTTGAGAAAAATTCTGCTGTTCTAACAATAAAAGCGAAAAGGTATCTGGTTTGTTCCATTTGTTTAATCGCCGTATAATATTTAATATACAAAACAATATATTGTTTTAGTTTACGTATTTTAGTTACGTAAAAAGATAGGTGTACGGCTCTGTGTCGCAACACTCATATTTTTGTTTTATTGCGGCTATTATAAATATTATAAACATTGTTCGCAATAAATATTATAAATATTTCCCGCAATAGTTAGGAGGCATCGAAAACCTCTCTAAAGCCTCCAGAATAGCTTCTTTTTACTATTAAACGCTTTTTTTTTATACCTGATTAAACAGAAAAACAAAAAATACAAAAAATTTACTTTTGCACAGAAAAGAGTGGATGACAACGTAAAAGAAGACACCCGCATCAAGAAGCGGTAAAAAAAATAGATTGTGTTAACAACAATTTGTATGTAACTACTTGGTGAAAATCTTGAGTCTTTATTATCTATAAAATATTAGAAAGAATAATTTATAACAGAACCTAGAATTATTTTGTTGATACTAAACTTTTATATAATAATCAATTCGGCTTCCAGAAAAACAATTCTACTGAACACGCTATACTCCAACTAACACGTAGCATTTCTGATTCTTTTAAAAATTCTCATTTTACCCTACGAGTATTCATCGATTTGTCTAAAGCTTTTGATACTGTTGATCACGACATTCAATTAAAAAAATTAGAACTCTATGGAATTAAAAATAAATCCCTAAGCTGGTTCAAAAGGTCTTTTGAACCAGTTTAGGTATTTATTTTTAAATCCCTAGGCAGTATGAGTACTGCTTACAATCTCAGAAATTGTAAGCAGTACGTTAATATTCAAGACTCTTCTTTGCCTTTATTAATGAATGTAACATGTGGTGTTCCACAGGGATCCATAGTTGGATTAACTCTTATTACTTTTAATATATATCAATGACCTTAACAAAGTCTCTAACCTAACCACTATAATTTTTGCTAATGCCTATTCTAGTCTCATGAAAACATAAATACACTTTTTAATAATATGACACAAAAATTTAATAAAATCTCATATTGGTTTAAGAAAAACAGATTGTCCCTCAATATTGATAAAACAAAATGGACACTTTTTTACCCAATATCCAGAAAAAAAATGTTTACAAAATAGAAGCTTGTCCTCTTTATTGATAATACAATACTAAATAGGGAAAAAGTTACAAAACCTCTTGGAGTTCTTGTAGACAAAAACTAATCATGGAAACAAAAAGTCGAGAATATCTCCATGAAAGTTGCTAAAGTATTTGAATTATATATAAAATTTGACATATGTTAAATAAACAACAATTAAAACAACTATATTATTCGTTTATCCATTGATATTTAAATTATGCAAATATAAAATTTTGATTTGTTTTTGAAAAAGACATTAACTTCTTTCAGACAAAAATTAAAAAAAGATACTTTTTTAGCTGAAAATATGTTTCTCTTTTTTTAGTTCTTTTGTTTCATATATATATTATCCAATATATTTATATTTCAAATGTACAGTTATATATAACTTATGCTGCTTTATTTTTATTGGTTAATTTAATTTTATTGCTATTATTATTATATTTTATATTGTAAAGGGCTTCATGATTAGATCGTATGATCTTCTGGAAGTCCTGCCGAATGTATTTGTAATAAAGCTATTCTGTAATTATAATTTTTTTTTTTATTGAAAGCCCCTTGAAAATTTAGATTTCTTAAATCTAAATGGAGAGTGACGTCCTGGATGCAGAGTAAAATTTCATACCACATAGATGCCCCAATTCATATTGACTTTTCAAGTTGGGAATCGATTGAACAAAGGCAGGAACTTTTTTAATTGAAGAATCTCTTAAAAAAAAAATGCCGGATTTCGAGGTGGTTCATTAAGTATAACTAAATCAACGATTTAGTTATACTTAATGAACCACCTCAAAATCATTTAGCTACTCTTAATGAACCACTTAGCATTGTTCATCTAAAAAAGAATTGTTTTAACAGTTTTGGAATGAAATTATAAATATACGATTGTGAATAAAAACATAAAACTACCTTGACTACTTGGTCTGACGTAGAGTTATTGATGTCTTTTTTATTGAAGCCACATTCTTCCAGTCTCTTTATTATTGTTTTTTATTTCTACCTTGGGACCCTGAGTCATGCTTTTGAAAACTGGAAATGACATTTTTACTCGCTGACTTCTTCAATG